GGGGGGGGGGGGGGGGGGGGGGGGCTTCGTCCCTCCGATTTGATAAAAAAAATATTCTAAAAAAAAAAAAGAAAAATACACCTCACATAGTGTGTTAAGCATGTGTTATTTTTGTGTATGATTCATACGTCCTACCTTGCGTAGGAGTCTTGCTAATCTTTTTAGGATCCATTTTAGTATATAGTAGACTCATACATTTAGTAAGACGAAGATTTAGTAGAACATTCTCCCTTGTGTAAGAGTCTTGCTAATCTTTTCGGTATTAACGATTTTTAGTATGTTGTAGACTTATTTATTTAGTAAGACTAAGATTTAATAGATATATTCATAGAAATATAATGCATTATAGGTACACACATATTTCACATTTGCATACTTTTGCATGTTGCCACAGAGAATATATCTATTAAATCTTCGCCTAATAATTCAACAAAATCGGAAGTAAGGTCTGTAAACTTAATAATTACCCATAATTATTATAACATTGTCAGACACTCGCTAATATAGATATTGACCTTACAGAAATGTTGTATCCACAGTCAACTTGCAGACAGAGCTGAAGCTCATGTATATAAATGTAAGGACAAGAAACTCTGAATATAATCCGGCTAGATTTACTGGATTAGTCATGAGAATACAGAACCCTAGAGCGACCGCATTAATCTTCAGATCTGGCAAATTAGTGTGCACTGGTGCAAGAAACGAAGAGGAATCGTTGCTAGCGACAAAAAAGTTTGCTAGAATAATTCAGAAGCTTGGCTTTCCTGTAAATAAAATTTCACTTTCTTTCTACAGCTACTGATGATCTAGATCTGGGTTTTTGTTAATGGATAATATTACTTTTTTTTTTATTATTGTAGGTGAAGTTTACTTCTTTTACAATACAGAACATTGTTGCAACGTGCGACTTGAAGTTTCCTATTAAATTGGAATCTCTAAATCAAAAACATGGTCAGTTTTCTAGTTATGAACCAGAATTGTATCCAGGTTTGACATACAGAATGTTGAAACCCAGAGTAGTATTATTGATATTTGTAAACGGCAAAGTTGTGATAACAGGTACAGTTGATGTACATAATATACACTTATTATACATGTATACACTGAGAAAAAAATTTACTAAATTTAAAAAAATGTTTATTTGGATACAACTGTGAACATATTTGTTTAAATTAAGTAATTATTTTCTATAATCAAAAAAAGAAATTTATATTTAAAACTTTATTTAATTTTAGAAAATAATTGCTTAATTCAAACAAATATGTTCATAGTTGTATTCAAACAAATGTTTTTTGAAATTTAGTAAATTTTTTTCTCAGTGTAACACTGTCGACATTATAATATGTTTCATACTTTTACAGGAGCAAAAAAACGGAAAGACTTACATGAAGCATTATTTTATATATATCCGATATTGAAAAGTTTTAGAAAGCAGTAGTTATCATTTACTCACGAACAAAACATGTTTTATTAGAATAAAACATGATATAACGCAAAAATTACTGATAAGTAAAAGAGAGAGAGAGAGAACTACATTTCCAGTTACGTGATCATCCTAGATATATATATTCGCATAAAATGAACCAGGTTAGCGTTTTATACATTTATACATTTTTTGTATGAATATGACAGGGAAATATTATTATATCTTAATATCTTATTTATTAAGCTTATAATTTGTTCCTTACATAGGTTAAATAATGTTATTTAATCAGTTAAGAAATGCTTTTACTAGTATATTAGAGCTGTAAATTGTACAAAACTATAATAAATCTTTACACATTTCAAATAAATATACGGTTAAAATGAAATCAGGATTGTGATTAGATGAACTAAGAAAATCGTCTTCTATATCGATACTAATTTACATAAATATAAATTTTTGGTAACAAATGCCGAAGTGTTATGGTTAATAACAACACCATGTGCTATCTTGTTTATTAAAATATATATTTCAGAAACTTTACACAATGAAAATAAACATCAATATCGATATACTATATATATCAAAATAAAATATAATGGAAAAACATAATCGTACAATGTGTGTTGTGTGGACAGTTTTTATACAATGTCTCACTACATTGGAATTATTTTGAATGTTTGCATGTCGACGTCTCGACGTCAATGGTAGCTTTTTTTTCTGGAAAATTTTAACCTACACTTGTGAATATGTTGAAATTTAAGGGAATATTCAATCGCTGTCGGATACAGAAAGGTGTTCCGCGAAAACATCAACGGAGTACTCCCAGAAGCTCTAACTCCGACGAATCTCGCGAAACTGCGCATTACGTCGAGTCGAAAGAACACCGGCACGTACATCAAAAGTTACTCTCGTTTCGTAAACTGAATAATCTGTCGCGTGTAGAGGTACAATCTTTATAATGGTTAAAACGTACACATCTGTATATAATTACATGCTTCTGGCAAAATTTCTATTAACGGCTCTATGAGAAAAGTGTATAGACGTTAATACAGCTGCTGGTAACAGCCATGGTCCATTTAAGAACTTTGTTCGGTGCATTGTCAGACTTGGAAAACATACAACGTCTTTCAATGCTCGACGCTTTAACGCTGCGTAAATGCGTGTGTCTTATATTTATTAGTTATCTGGACGCGTTATCTAATTACACGTCTGATCGATACTGGAATAAAAGCTCCGTTTTTGCTCGATCGGCGTATACATACGTATATGTGTATGCATATACATATCTTTAATTAATGAAACATGTAAGAATTATGCGAAGTGATACGTATGTGTGTGTTTGTGTGTGTGTGTGTGTGTGTGTGTGTGTTGTGTATGCGTATGTATATACGTGTGAATACATTCTTCTTTTTCGAGCCTTTGCTTCCGCAGTCTTTAATCAATCACGTGTATGCCTTTTTTCGCGGCTATCGGCAATTTCTCTCCTTGGAAGAATGGGTTCTCTTCCTGAAATAATAATTTATATATCTTTCTGTCTTCGACATTATGGTCGTTCAATTAATTTTGATCGTTTAATTGAGTGAAAGTCTCCTCTCCAAACAATACACAGGAAATTAAATTTACATAATTTTGAACAAAAATAAACTCGGATTGTTCGGGTATCAATGTGTTATCGCAATACATTTACCTGAAACTGTTCGACGATTTGGTTGAAGTCAGAATTCGAAATATGCATGTTTGACAAGTTGTTACTGTTTCCGGAGTCGCCTGAGCATTCCAACATGTGTTCCGTATCGCACATACAGTCCTGTGCACTCTGGTAGTCGCGACTGAACGCTGCTGTATTCTCGAAATTGGTGAGGCAATTGTTTTCGCCTGTAAAGCAAAAGATTAACGTTCAACTGTATTTCTCATGCGCTACTATCCCTTTCTACATTCACGCATGTCAATCCGAACGAATTCCAAACGAATTCACTCACTTGTGTATCCGACTGGGCAAGGATTCGGCGGAGTGCAATAAGCCGGCAGAGGATTTTCTGTCTTCTCGTCCTTGATTCCCTTCAAGCCGGCCGACTGAATCCTATGCCTGTCGTTTCCCTTGTTGTTATTGACACGCTGATGGCTCCACAGCGTGCTGTGCTGCAGATATTCCTGATCTCGTATACTCGGGTTCGGATTTAACGTGTCGATGCCGTCGTAATCGGCCGGCAATTCCAACGGCAGTTCCTTCGCCTTCTCCGGATATTCCAGAAAGTACGGATCCGGCGCGTCCGCGAACTCGTTTCCGAGCTGATCGATGATCAGCTCTCGCAGAAGAGTGTCGGTCAACATGTGCTCCTCCTGGGGAGTACATCCGAACAGAGGATTACACGGTCTTTGAGAGTCCTGCAAGAAACGGATGAATGACAAAGAATCGACAGGAATTTTCATCTCGCGAGAGCCGCAGGAGGCGGCTTCGCGATCGTTCGATTTTCGCCTCTATCTCTTCGTATCAGTTCAATTCGCACTAGATAAAATTGATAATAAAAAAAGAAGGGAAAAGAGGGAAATGGACTCCCCTTGAAATATCGTTCCTTCAGCAGTTTCTCGACGTCTAATCCAACATTGATTTACGCTACATGGATGTGTCGTCCATATGTTGGAATATGAGAGGAGTGAGAGAGGGCCTTTGGACGTGTGCAAATCGACGCCTTTGTAGGAACGATTCCTCTCGATCCATTCTGATTCATCTTCTTTTCGCAGGACTGCGATTCGCACGATTACCTTGATCGACGGCAGATAGACGTTCGCCTGTGTGGCAACGGCGATCGAGAGGAGCAACATGCAGTACGGCATGGTGGCGGATGTGCGCACCTGTGAAACAGCGCAGAAAGATACCCTTCATTTCAAGCGGATTCTTCGTCTGTTTTCAGGTTCGACGACGTGACGGATCGCTTAATCTCGTGAAGCAAGTTCTAATCTCGTGAAACAAGTTCTATCTCTCTTAAAATAAAAAAAGGTACCTAAAGATACACAAGCTTCCTCACGGAGGTGGTTATCGTCTCAAATATAAATGTGTTCCTTTAAACTGAACCGTTTGAACTGATGTAATAAGTTTGAGCGAAGTAAATATATTTTGCTTCACTCTAACTCATTGCACCAGTGTTCACCGGTTCAGCTGAAAAGAACAGACCTTATATCGCAACGGCGACGTTTCTCACTTGGGAACGATTCCTCGCGCATTCTCGATGATTCTCTTTGCAGAGACGGAGATGTATACGACTCGGATTGCACCAATCGCGCACCACGCCAATCGTATCACGAAGCACCATCGCCAATTTTGCGCTTAATTACATGTATCAAGAGCGGCGTAGGCCCGCGCCTACACGCCACCCTTGAAATAGCGCGGCCCTTGCCTTTTATATTCGCGCGAGGCGCGCAACTCACCGCGCGTGACGACGAGAAGCTGGCCTGCGATAGGGATGCCGGTTCGACACACCTGGTCGTCACACCTCGAGGAGATGCTGCACCGGTTCTCTCGCGTCAGCTGCACACGTTCCTCGCCGCCTCCGCCGCCTTCGCCACCGTCACCGCCGTCGCTGTCATCAGCGGCAGCAGCGACGCGACGAGCGCCCTTCGCGGTCCCGCCGAGTACCAGAGTATTGATTCGCCTACCTCGTCGCCGTCGACCTCCCCTCGTTCACGGGGCCTCCCCGACACGACGTACTCCCACATCCTCCTACGTAGTCGTTACGATCACTTCTCCGCCGAGCAACCCATATTCCATGTAAAATCGAGCGAGTCGCTGCCAAAGGTCACTCGACCACCGTGACCGGCGTGCGTCACGTGGCCGACAATGAAGTCTCTCCTTTCTCTCTTGATTAACGATGAATACAGAGTATTGGCGAGCGGCGAACACCGGAACACACCCCTGTTAGTTAGTCGCGAACGCGAACCGGGTTATTCCCCGGAAATGACTGATGGATCGGAGGGATTCGAGAGGAACCTGGCGATGCGCGAAGCTGAACATTCGGTCCTACGGATTGATTGGCAATTTTTACCTCGTTGTCACATAACGGTGTGACTTGCGCGTTGACGTCACATGAAGAGAACCGCTGTCGCTCTGATGCATTTTAATTCCGAGAAATTTACCGGGAGAAACCTCTGCTTATAATCAATCCGTAATTAATTGCGAAGCTTTGTCGCGCAGATCGAAGAACACGCTTGTTCTCAGAGATGTCTTTTTCTTGACGCTCACGAAACGCATTGGCTATCCGCATATTTGGACCGCACTCGTAAGCGAATCTGCTTTACGTGCGGGACACGTCGTTTGGATAATCTGATATAAAAGTCGTATATCTTCAAGTCCTGCAGCGGCTATAAAGCATCCAAAGTACGCGGTCATTTTGTTTCGCGGGCACGGAGCACGGGTTAACGTAAGAGCGTAATTTCCTTCGGTAGCGAGACGTTCACCGCAAAGCGAATAATTCCTCCCGTTTCCTCAGCTACGTCGTGCGCCATTTTTATCACATTAACCACCTACTACCTCACTACCTCTACAATATCGCTACAAGTTGAAAACGCTCACGTTGCTTTAATTTTTCCTTCTTTTTTCCTCTTTTTTCAGCAAGATATCCAACAAAATTTCAAGTAAAACATTATAAGACTCTGTATATTTAAATTAGCGCCACACGGACAATAATAAAAAATTACTACTTGTCAGCACAATGAAATAAATTACAAAATATAACGGAGACTACACTCCACCGAAAGTTACACCTGTATCAGTAATTGTCTCAAATAAAACAATCTGATTTGAATATAAAGTTAGACGTGAACTTTTCAGTTCTTTTCAGTCAGCGATTATAAACGCGACAGAATCGCGGTTATAAATGTGATGTCACACATATTATATGATTCGAAGAAGAAAATCTAACGATCCAAGTATCTCGCATAGAACAAATTTCAAGCAACGGCTATTAACACGGGCTAGTTTCTCGTATCTAGATAATTCTCGTCATGACAGCAAGACTATTCTTTTTTTGGATGAGGGATAAATCTCGCTTTTGCAATACAGAAATATCTTACATTTTATTCGGCGCGCGAGACGGACGGAGATAAAATTCTGGTTTTCATAAATGACTCGCGGAGAAGTACGGTTGTTTGTCAAGCCGGCGCTCTTTCATTAAGCGCGTCGGCTGTTCGGAGGGTCGCTCGCAAGGACGCAGGGTCCCTCGGAAGATCAAAAGATCCTTCCCCTCTCTCGTTACGGTTGCATATAAACGTCCATTAGTCAGTGTCCCGCATTGCTTGCCAGCAACTCAATTTCCAAAATCAAATTTCCGTTATGCCGTCGTCTCGTCTCTCGCGGATCCTCTTTGTGTGTGTGCGTATTCGTCGCGTGAAAACCACCCTTTTCGCGGTGTCTCCGCTCGAATCGCTCCTCAGCGAATTTGCCAGTCCTCCTAAAATTTCGAAAGATTGTCGAAAATTGTTTTCGCCGCCAAGCTCGCGGCATTTTGACGTGATTTCGCTGCTATTTGTCAGCGCGGTGATCGGTAAATATAAGCGGTAATAATAAGCGGGGCAATCGGTGTCGCCGACGTGTCCCGAGGGAGAGAGTATCAGGACATTCTTGAAGCTGCTGGTGCTTTCCCAGCGCAGCATCCGGACGGCTTGTCGGAATCCTTCGTACGAATAAAAGTCTTCGCGTCTTAGGCGGATCCTAATGCCGCGGATTCCTGCACAATCAGGATTACATGCACGCGTAAGCGACGTCCGTGTGATGTGTGGTATCTGGAGAATGTTTGGTCGCGCTGCACGACAAATCGAATTGTATTTTACTCTTTTTTTCTTTGTTTTCAAGTGCGACAGCACATCGCGGCATCGTGTTTTTGGGGATACACGCGATACGTATCGCGGTTGATAACAGCGTGACCGGAAGTAAAATCGCGCGGGACGATCTTGTCACGCTTGACGCGACATTTCATATGGGTGGATCAATGTGGTGGAGTTGTCCACGTGCATCCGGTGAATATGCTCTTTTATGTCCTTTGGGAATATATAATGTGTTTCTTAAAATTTTTACATTTCTGCATCGCGCCCTTTGACATTTGTCCTTGTTTACCACAGATTAAAATATCGCTTATTGATGACTACCCAGATAGCACAAATAATTCAAAAAGAATTTAGTCGTATATTACCAATTTTTAATTAATTTTTAAATGCAAAAAGAATTCTTTTTGCTGAACTGAACTCTGAAGAATTCTTTTTATATCTGAAAATAAACTTAGAATTGATGACATATGACTAAATTCTTTTAGAATTCTCTTTGAATTCTCTATGCTATCTGGGTATTGATAACAATACTTGGCAATTCCACGCATTCTGCGGATAATTCTCGGACGCAAAATAGCTTCGATTTATCATTATAGCGTCGCCCGCGCCAACTTTATCCGCGATTATTGAGCGGGACAGAGGAAGATGAGTACGCAGGCCAAAACTCGAGGAATACCGTTTCCCGAGAAACTCGCAGGGTAAGCCGGGAGGCAATTGAAACGTTAATGGAGTCGTCGCTCCTAAGTGTTGCGCGCGCTGAGGAACAAATTTCAGGCGTGTTTTCCTCCCTTTCAGAACTCTCTGTGTCCGTTTCCTCGGTGTTCCTGACTCAAAATCAAAATCCCCCAGCATGTTGTGTTTCGTACAAAGCGCGAGCTGCAGAAAAGGATATTTCATTTCTCCGGATATCGCATGCTTTCATCTGTGTATTCCATTTAAAATGCAATTGTTCGGAAAAAAAAGAGAGAAAGACAAGGGAGGAGATACAAAGCTGTGTGTCATCACATTTCATCGTGCCTCGTATCGAATAACCAATCGAGATGAGTTAATAAACGAGCGCCGTTGAGACAGACAGCGCGCGGTCGGTTCAGCCGCGAACGACAGCGGCTGACGAGAAGAGCTACCGCTGCCATCAGAGCATCTCCGGAATTCTTCCCTCGGCGAGATAGCAGATATACTGTGCGTGCGTAGTCGACGTGGGGTTGTTACGCTCAGTCTCGGCGTCAGCGAGTATTGATCCTCACCTCGGCGAGAGAGAGAGTCGGCTACGTGAATGGGTTTACGGCTGTCTCACACTGTACCGCAGATTTTCGGACGGTCCTCTCTCTCTGTCTCTCTCTCTTCCTCCGTGTGTCTCTCCGTCGCACACTCCTCGCCATCTCCTCGCGATCTCAATCTCCCCCTTGGCCCTTGGAGGGTGCTTTTATGCAGCTTCGCCGCTCGTGCTTCACAGCACGGTGCCGCCCACGCGATGGATATCGCGCTCTTATTGCTGCTAGACGCGGTCGACGCTGGATTGCGACGCGAAAAAAGTACAGATTGCCCTTTTATCGCATGTGGAAGATGTGGGGGGTAATAAGCATGCGACGGTGAAAATGATTTCTCACATTGAAAGATGTTACTCTTCCCCATCCAAGGAGTCGAGACATCGACGGCTTCCCAGTCGTAGGGAAAAGCGCATTTTAGGGAGTTGAATTTTAGCCTAGATCCATAGTCTTTACTTCCCGCTTCTTTCCCTTTCTCTCTCTCTCTCTCTCTCTCTCTCTCTCTCTCTCTCTCTCTCTCTCTCCTCTCTCTCTCTCTTTCGCTTTCTTTCTCTGGATTAAGCCAGAGAAAGACAGAGAACAAGAAAAAAAGAGCACATTGTAGATCAGGTTTTAAAGTTGTGCAGAGAGATGGTGTAATTCTGCCTTTTAAATAATTTCAAATGTGGTTTCTATTTTAATAAAATGTTTGAGAAAAACATGAATTAAGTAAGATAATGTTCAATTAAATATTGGTGGCAGAGTATAATAAGAATTGACAAATATCAAGAAAGTACATTTATCATCTCGCGAGTATGGCTGATCGCGAATTAATTATATTTGCCGGTTTCATCGGATTTTAGCCCAGATCCACAGTCTTTACTTTCCGCTTCTTTCCCTTTCTCTCTCTCCTTCTTTTTCACTTTCTTTCTTTGGATTAAGCCAGAGAAAGATAAAGAATAAGAAAAAAAAAAAGAGCACATTGTAAATCAGGTTTTAAAGTTGTGCAGAGAGATGGTGTAATTCTGCCTTCTAAATAATTTCAAATGTGGTTTCTGTTTTAATAAAATGTTTGAGAAAAACACGGATTAAATAAAATAATGTTCAATTAAATATTGGTAGCAGAGTATAATAAGAATTGACAAATATCAAGAAGGTACATTTATCGTCTCGCGAGTATGGCTCATCGCGAATTAATTATATTTGCCGGTTTCATCGGACATCTTTCTCGTTCTTTATTAGTTTCTCCTATGTTCAGGATTCTATAAATACATACATATATGCCATCATATCGCTGCTAATGGCAAGCATATTAGCAGTTAACAAAGTTGAGTACTTTAACTGACAGCGGTTTGTAATAAATTGTCTCGTATAATTTCGTCTTCTCCTGGTGCAATTAGGAGTGTAATTAAGGACTGTATAAGTGCACTGGCTACCGCAGGATATTAACGATAAAATATCTCGTTTATTATGCGACAGAAGATGCGCCTTTATTAAACACTGCGGACGCATGCAGAAGGGTGTTTAAGTCGATTCAACTTTTAATTGAATCCACCTTCAAGACGTCAGCATGAAGAACGGTTATGACAGATGCGTTTCTAGGTTGTATGCCGTAAACTATTCAGAACGTCTATTCGAGGAACGTTATCAAAGATGCTCAACGCGTGCAAAATCGTGAGAGAGTCTTAACAGATTTTAATTGCGTCTTGTCTCTCTTACGCCGAGAATTTTTTTTGAAATTTTAATCCAAATTTTTATGAACTTTTTTATCAAAATTAAATGACGGAGGAGCAATCGTCGTACGTGCCGTTCAAGAACCGGCAGGTATTGTTAATTATGAAAGAAACATTGAGTAGATCTCTTGAGAAATATTGAGATATATCGACGAAATATTGAGATACATAGTCTGAGATATGAAAAGAATATATATTTCTCAAACTGTTAATTTTTTATTCTATGAAAAGGTTATTTATAGAACAGCAATAATTTTTTTACTAATATAATTCAATATTCTGTTCGTGTGCGCAAAACTATTGAATATAAAAGTGCAGTAACTGAATATGAACGACATTCTGTGACTCTCGTCTTCTCAATCTAGTAGAAAATAGAATTGTCTTTTCCGGTAAGGTCTCCCTCTTTCTCTCAATATTTCAGAGAAATTCATGCGAACTCGCGAGCCAAGACGTGGCATTCGATCTGGAGAAATATGGCCCCTATATCGACAAGATTCGAGCTCTCTTCGTGCCCAGCTTGGAATACAGAATCCGTTCATTGCTGGAGGAGTTCGTATACAGCACAGACTCGCGGTCGGCCGGGCGGTTTCCACGTTTCAAGAGACTCGTTGACGTGATGGCTACATGGAAGGGTCCTCTGAATAAAATCGCCGAATACGACGTCGGTACGATGGAGGAAGCAATCGGGAGTATTGTAAATTGCGCTTTGAAAGACGACCTGATCACCTGCTTCCTGGACTCCATCGTTCTACATCATAGATTAAATAAGATCTGTCGCGAGCTGGACGCGTTAGGACTCGAGGACAATATCTTGAGAAGCTGGAGCGTGTGGAACTTTGTCAACAAGAGGGATTACCGGGCAAATCGTTTCACGTGCGTTCACGGAGCGTTCTTTTTTAACCAGAATTAAATACGCCGAGTGGCTTGCAAAACGGTTTAGGCGCAATGAAGTTGGGAGCTCCTCAAACTGTCAATATTGAGAGTCACTGCTATGGGATTCTTGCCTAATAGTCAAATTATTCATTATTATTCTTATCTTATTATGTATTTCATTATTATGACTTATTATTCTTAGTTACACGATTAATTGTATTGTCATTGCATAAATCCGTCGGTGATGACTCTTAATTTTGACAGTTTACTGAGCTCCCAACTTCATTCTGTGCTTTGCATCCCGCTGTGCACATTCATATGCACATGGTTTCATTTCTCCGATTGATAAGTTTTTGGTCCGACTGAAGATTCATTCATCAACCGCCGGCAACCGCGTTTTTCATTCGCTATCGTAAAAATGTGTCGAACCGATAGGCATCCCGACGCTGCGGCGAATTGCAGCACGAATCCAAGCGTGACGACGCGCCACGACGCGGAAAGGCCGGCCGGGCGTGAAAAAGTTGTTGCGCCACTAAGAACGAGCGACATTTATTGCGCCGGAAGTGCCGAGCACGTGCGACCGACTGTCACGCCGGACTGTCGGGCGTGGGAACGTCGGCAGGACGTTCTCCTCGACTTGGATCGAGGTCTTCTTCGGCAGACAGAAGGTAATAATCAGGTGCATCCCGCGACTGGATCGCAGCGCGACGACACTGACGAAACGCGGGAATTTCTCGAGAAGAGATCTCGTGAGGCCGGGAAAATACGGAGCGCTTCGAAGCTGAAACTGATCGTGCGCAAGGTGCACCTGGAGAATTGCGGCTGTTCGACGCTCTCCGGACTTGTCGTCACTCGCTTGCTTCTACCTTGCAAGCCTGGCGACCTGATCGGTCGAATTTTCGAGGCCGACCCGTCCCTGACCGAGTCCTGCTTGATAGTGATGAGACGAAAGTTCCAAGTCAGCGTGAGCAACCTCTGCTCGTGTCTCAACGACGTTTTGGGCAAATTGAACGCTGAGGCGTCGCGTCTCACCATTAGGATGCTGCATCTCAGCTGCGAGATACGCCCGGGATATATCAGCTTCAAGTTGAAAAGTGACGCCGGCAGCCGTAAGTGCCTCTTCGTGGCGAGGATACCGATATGTCAAAACGTTCACAAACGCACGGCTCCACTTGATGTGACTGCTTCATTCTCCAGCGCAAAACTTAGGGACGAAACTGGAGGATCAGAATATTCAGGACAACATAAAGGTGTCGACATGGATTTCAATGATACATGTGTTGAACATGAGAGGGTAGGCGACACTTGCTGTTCACAGTTGGACCATAATTTAGCAGAAGATATGATAGCAGACAGATCGCAAGACAGGGTGAAAAATATAGAAGGAACTTCGCCTCTGTGCTCGATTAATGAGAACAGTCCAAAGCGTGATTATGAATTTAGAATTTGTCCTCATAACAAATCCTCCGAGAAAATTGTTGAGACAATGTCTGACGTGATGTCACGTACTGATCCCGAGAAAGGAAACAAGGAGCATTGTGAAACTGCGGATTCAAATGATTGTGACAGGAACATGAGAGAAAATAGGAAGGAAATTTTTGGAACAGACAATTGTACTGTGAGGAACGACGAACCTACACGATTAGCAAACGATACTAATTGCACGTGTCTGCCGTACGGAAATCCCGCAGAAACGAAGGTTGAAAACATTGTCAGCGACAGAGACATGGATGGTTCGTCGCAGAGTGCGGATCTCGACTGGACGAGTTCGTCAAATAAGGAGATGGATTCGGAGAGCACAGTTTGTAGTCGCGCTAACACGAGCAGTATCACGTCGTTCGTGCAAGATCCCGAACGTGACAAGCAATTGGTGGAACTGAATTGCAATCGTTTTTTAAACAATAACGTCGCAAAGATCGACGAACGGCCGAGTACAGTGGACGTGGATTTGCTGGATTCATCGAGAGCGGAGGTCGGATGCGAGTCTAATTGTTCCTGCCGCTACGACGACTTCATAAACATCACCGTGATCGGTGACGTGTCCGAAGGAAATGTTCGTCTTGCGACTTACCGAGATCAGTCGGAGGCAACGAAGCCTCGAGACGCGATCGGAACGACGAAGATCTCGTCGGGCAACTCAAAGGGCAACAACACGATTTCCGTGCAGACGCCTCGACTGCAGGTGTCGTCGAAGGGTATCAGTGTGGACATTAGTTTCCCACACACTGCAGCTCGGTTGGCTTCCGACAGGAGTATATCGAGCGACAAGTGCAACGGAGCGACGGACTTACCCGCTCAGTCCTTAGCAGTTCCGCAGAAAGAAGACGTCATTTCTCACAACGGGAGTGAAGAAGTTCTCAACATGGTCGGCAGAACTCGCGGCTTTATTAGACCGCCGAGTAGACGCACCGTGTCGAAGCGGAAGCTTCGATCGAACGCAGACCCGAGACAGCTCGGCGTCTGGACGGAGGAAGATCCTCGCGATCACTCGACCAGCTTGGCTTCCAACACGTCGCCCACCTGCCGTTCGTTCGTGACGGATGAAACGAGGAGGGACAGATTCCAGAATTCTCGCGGATTGAGGAAGCTTCGTCTTCGTTACGTGCGCGCGGCCTCGTCGAGTGGTGTTCGCAGCGTGACTTCCGTCACGACGATTAAGTACCGAACGACGTCTCGCAAGAGGCAGAATGGCTATTCTGCCGATGCGCGACAAGAGGTGGCATTCGCGACAAGTCGCTTCCGCAGATCCGTCGACAAGTCTGTCCGCTGGATGAAGCGTCTGGTTCGCACCAAGCTGGCATTTTTCAATCATAAACGAGCCAAGACGGCGAGTACGTCGAGAACCTTCTGGGAGAGCGACGAGTGCGCCGGAGATGTCGAGAGACGGACAGCTGGAACATACATCGGACAGGTATCCCGATTAGATATTAGTCCTATGGTCCAATTGATCCCATTCAGTTGTCTTCTTCTTACCATCTATAGCCGAGAGCTTCAATTTCATCAACCAGAATCACTTATCTGCTTTGTATAAAGTGACGAATCATACATGAAGAGAATATTGTACATGATAATTTTTATTATATTTATGGTAATTTTTACTATGTCTTTTTACTGTTCATGGTCACTTTTACTATGTCTTATTATAATTTTCATCACAGTGTCATACTTCTCGGTGTACTAAAACTATATTGTAATTTTTACTACAATATTCTCCCCGTGAAAATATTTATTCCTTGTTAATATTTTTCTATTTCCACAAGATTGTGAATTCTATCTTCGAGGTCAAAGATCCTCCTTTAAGTTGATCTCTTTGTTTACTTTGGAAATTGCGCCTTTAGATATTGCGAATTTATAATTTTTTCACTGATTCTTTCGCAGGGTTGCTGCGTGACTTCGTGCTCGAATCCTGATTGTCGCGGACGAGGCTGTACGATATCGCACGTCGAGTCCTTGGACGTGACGCCGCCGTGCCGCAGAAATTGGGGAGAAGAAAAGAGCGAGGGTGGAATGAAGCTGCGCGACCGCAGATTGGCCGGCGGCAGCGAGGTCCTGTCGAGCTTCCGCTCGATCGTTTCCCCGTGGTCTTATGATTTGTTGACTTCGGCACCCGAGGATTTCGAGGCACGGGAGTTGGTTGGCGGCAGTCGACGGCGTCTCGGGAAAGACGAGACCGAAAGCGAACGGGACTTCGCAAATCGCAAGAAGAACTCCCGTGGCCGCGATTACGGGAATTACGAGGAAAGTATAACGATTTCCCTGCGATCGGCCGCGATGTCTCTCGCCAACGGTGATTCTGCGGAACATCTTGAGCGTAGCAGACGCGAGCAGCGGAAGAAACCCCGTGACGGCAAGCCACGTGGTCGAGATCGGCGGGCAAGTGAAGAGACACAGGCTGGACGACGTGGCGACCACTGGAGGAGAAAGCCGCGCGAGATTAGAAAGGCTAATGATGAATTTTCAGAACTGTCGTTCGCGAGAATAGAAGGAGCTAAAGCTCGCAAACGATCGCATGGCGTATCGAGATCGAGGAATGCGAAGAGACCATCGTCTTTAGGGGAAACTCGGGAGACAACCCGGACGGGTGCGACGATAGATCGTTTACGCAGGAGACGCGTGTTCGCGCTTTTGGCCGACACGTGCCACGATTGCGCGCGCGATCTCGACCTGGAGTTCGAGTCCGCGCTGTCGCGATACGTGGACCTCTGCAGAAATGTCAAACGTTCATTGATGAGGACGCTGTGTCCGAATGATGTTTACGGGATTAGCGCGCCGTCGACGCACGGTAGCGACTGGTGAAGGATTTACCGCGACGTGATGACGTCGCGTTTGATTCAGGCCGTCCTGTGACGTTGTCAAGTAATATTGTTCATATACATCGCGCAAATAATATTCACAACGTTAACGGCGTTTTGCAGAATGTTCAGTGCCGCGATCGCGGCACGAAACTGATTTCTGTGTATTTGTTTTTATGCTGAAAGTTTTATGTTGAAAGTAATCCAAGTATTTCTTCAGAACTACCAATTACTTGTGTGCGCAGAAACGTTCTCTAGTGAGAACAGAATTATTGTATTAATGTTCCAATTGACTATCATTTTATCGCCTTTGACGCGCTATAAAGGTAAAGCGGGAAATCACGATGACGTCAAAATGACGAGAAAATGATCGAATCGTGATTACAAAGCGAGTCTTTTAAGTTCAATTACTAGCCGTTACTTGAAACTTGCCTGGAGTTAGATTTGAACTTGGAGTTAGATTTGAATTTTTCGTCTGAATTATGTAACACTTGCGACATTACGTTTGTGATCGCGATTCAGCAGAAGAACTTATATCTAACTCCAAATTCAAATCTGAATATTTCAAGTGAGGCAACTCAAATGACTATTAATACGAGCCTTAGTCGTTTTCTCGTAATCTCGGCATCATTTTCATGTCGTCCTAATGTTCTGTTTTGCGAGATAGGATTAAAAATCTAGATGGAGATTATTAACTGAAATGTGTGTCGATCTGGCGTTGATTTGATTGTTGACCGGCGACAAGATTGCTTTTTTATCTCGGATATTTCGGGGACGTGAGAGACCAGGCGTGTGTCGTGTATATGAGGCTTTAAATAAAAACGTTACGTCACATCAATAATCCCGCGAGAAGATCCCCTATTCGTCTTTTCGCCGACTCTGACGCGAAGTAAACGTGCGATGGTGGGCGAGGGTGGAAAACGCGGTGTGGTGGAGGCCGCGAAATAAATATCAGCTTGCAAATTGTCGCGAAGAGGGTAAAAAGGTACTCTGTCCGACGCTTGTTAGAGCCGCGGGAGTGCTATAAGCTCGTCGGCAAATCAATTCTCCTTTATGGATTACGGTATTCCCCGCAGGCGGCCGTTCGCACGCGCCGGAACGATAGTGAAATCCAAGTTATTTGGGGCATACTGACGCCGAGGAGAAGATAAAGTATTGTACCAACCATTGAGAACAGCAGCAGCATCCGTCCCTCCGGGCAGATCGATATTTCCTGGCAACCAGCGGAAAAGGGTGCCTAGCCCCGATCGCTCCTCTGTTTGTAACAATGCGAGTCGGTCACCGCGACGGGGGGACGACTCGCCGTTGTCGACCGAGCCGTTTCTTAATTTCTCGGCGCTTCCCTCACACGGATTACCGGAATACGTCTACCGATTGGAGCAGCCGTCGTTTTGCGAATCCGGGATCAGTCATTGCGGAACCCGAGCGTTTGAGGGAAGCTTGTTCCTCGCAACCCTTCGGAAGATTTGACTTGACGAATCGACCGATTCCTCAATCTGCCATTGCGATATATATCGAACGGCGCTTTGAGGTCGCTCGAACGAGGAAAGATTTTCGACAGGAAGTAAATGACGCGGAACGCAGCCTCCTTTTTCCACCCTCGAGCATTAGAAATCCAACCCCTCGGGTCCATCGTTTCTCGCTCTCTCTCTTTCTTTCTCTCTCTCTCTCTCTCTCTCTCTCTCTCTCTCTCTCTCTCTCTCTGTCTATCTCTATCTCGGGACACCAATGGACTTAAAATCGTAGCTTATACCGATCATGCGTAGTCCGATTAATGCATTAACGTTAACGGTGTCGCGATCGTTTTTCCTGTGTGCCGCGTTTTGTTGTTGCAAAACTTTCGCCCGGGGGTGCAGGAGGCTCCGCCTGGGGTCGATCTAAAGGGGGTTGCGAGCCTCGCCGATTGGCCAGTGATATCGATGCGTCGCGTCGCTGGGCCAATCGCGTCGCCGCGCTGGGATGCGCTGACGCCGTGACCAGAAGTCAACTTTGTTGCTGCCGCCGCCGCCGCCGCTACCACCCGCGCCGCCGCCGCCACCGCCGCCGCCGCTGCCGCCGCCGTCGTCGACGACGACGACGACGACGTCAGGCGACGTCGACGACGTTCTCCGTCGCGTACCCCGCGCTACCGTTACCCAGTCCGCACGTAACCGTATCTGGACTTAATTATTGGTGAGTCCTGCGAGTCCTCCGGATATCGTCGCGTTTTCCGCTTCCGGCCGTGCTCGACGACATTCCGGCGGGTATTAGGAGAGGATCGCGAATAATGATCTCATTGCTCGCGATTCCATTTTGCTCGCGAGCGAGATCCAGGCCGAACTCGCGATGCGCGCCTTCCACCAGGACGGCCTGTCGGAGAGCCGTCGAAGTGCCGACGAGATCGTTCTCTTTTCAGTGAAACTTTTCAGTGAAACGACCGGGGGATGATTTTGAAATTTCGGCACGAGAGCCGTAGCTCGCGGAGTGACGTTCCCGCTCGCTTTCGATCTCGCGCGGAAACGGTGACACGGCAAATTTGCGCTTGAGCCTCTTTCCTGTCGTCACTCGCGATCGAGTAAAATTGAAAGAGAAACGGTGGCGAAGTTGCCTTTCCTTTGATTCGTTTCTCGCCGGAAGAATTGCGAGCAGCCTCTAGATCTTCATCTTCGCCGGGAGCCTTTGATTTGGAGCTCTAGTATGAGTGGTGAGCTGCAAAGTGCTGATTTCGTTCGCGCAATTATCAGAGTGATGCGAGCACACCTTCTGTGCGGCGATGTCGCACTTCGTGCGCTCCTCTCCGCGGTGTGAAAAAATCGTGGAATTTCTGAGGAGTCTGAAAAAACTCTTGGACAGTGCTGGCTGGTGATTTTCAGACATGTGAAACCCATCGCACGACAACTGGTCCCACTGGGTATCGACGCTTCAGGCACTTTCTCCGCGCACTGTCATAATAAGTTTATCTCGACTTGGATTACGCGAATGCCCGAGGCTGCGGGATGTCACGGCGCTCGTTTGCGCCATTCTCGCGTCGATTAGACGCGAATTGAGTTTCCGCCACATAAATCTGCTTTCACGATTAAGATTCTCTTTGGACATCACGGCGGATTCTATCGCCATTAGCGCCTCTTGTTCGTTAAAATGGACTTGGTTTTACCGTGCGATGCTGCTTCTGAATATTTTATCATTCTCTTCATATCTCCTCATATCCTCGTATTTTTATCGTTCACTTATATTCGTTCGATGTAATTAATTATCCACTTATCACTCTCTTCATGTCTACATACAAAGAAAACGATCACAGAATATCAATTGCACATTGTTTCGTATTTTTTATTACCCATAATTCCTTGTCCAAGTTGTGGCCAAGGACAGCTTGAATCTTTTTTCTTAAATGGTTAAATATCGTCCGCATATATTTTTGAAATGCATTCTTCTTTCTCTCTCTTTCTCTCTTCAGAATTAGTTTTCACATCAGTGTGAAATGTGATGAGGTACAAAGTCACGACGTGGAGCGCGGCACCACGCCACCAGCCGAACCATCGCTTGATGTCCATTAAGTTGAGTCAGCATGTCCCATACTCGTTATTCCACCCCAATTCGTCAACCCCGTATTGTGCATTTTGTGCCTTTTGTCTGTCACGTGCCGTTTTAATATCCCGCAGCTATTGTCCCGCGATGCGCCTCTTTATGATCGGCGCAGCACTACCCCCGTAACGATTTTTGCAGACCGCACGCTCCATCGTGCGATATCGCGATAGACAGATATTATCCAGCGGCAACTGGCCCACGACTGCCAGATCGAAAATATAAAATGACGCGACACGCCGAAAAGATAGCTCTTCTCGAGTCAGACAGGCGAAGCTTGAGACACGGAAGTGTCGCGAATGAAGTTCCGCGTGCAGGTGAAAACAAAAACGCTGCGAACGAGTGAGATAAAGTTTAGTAGTACATTAAAGAAAGCAGCGAGAAATACTTCCGGTCAATTTTGCATTAACAATTCGGCCAGCAGCAAAATCACGCCTGTCTGTCGCCTTTAATTTTCTCACTTTCCATGGGTGACAAAGTCGCGAAAGTCCGTTGTATTTCTCGTGAGCGCGTACTACGTCTTGATTAAGGATAGACTCGATTAAGATTTCGCGACTTTAAGAAACGCGCCTCCGAGAAACTTTAAGTGAAAAATATGATCTCGGTGTACGGCCGTTGCTGTGCGTTTCTTCTCACAGTTTTCCACCCTCCGAAGATGCTCCCTCGAGAGTCCGGGGATTAGGGGTGGAGAGACTGCCACTCCAAATAAACACCCCTACCCCGGATTCCCTTCGTGCCGTATAAAGGATACTCCATACAGATATAGCGCAGACGGGAGCTATATGTGGACGAAACGAAAGTCCTTCCTTGCGATATCGACAGTGGCGGATAATTTAAGGGACTTCGAATTTTGATCTATTACCTGTCAGATTGCGAGCGCGACACATTTAACGAATTTCACGTGAGATTACGTGATCCATGCAAGCATAACAACGAAAGCTAAAGGAGTTTCCTTGCTGCAGGGGCTGCCAACACTAACACCGCAATTATACGATATTCCGGAGCAACTTTAATAATTGGAAAATGTCCGGATTCGCAGCGGCGGGTCTCGTAGCTTTTGACTCCTTCAGGACTAAAGCGGCGCTGAAGTTATCCGGGTAATGTAGCGCTCACTCGTAGCTACTAAGCTATTTTTAGAACGAACGCGTAATATCAGAATAAAGGATCCTTTATCTCAAATAAAGATTAAATCTCGTATTGCGAGTGTTCCGGGATGATATAGAAAGAACTAATTGTTGCGCTTGCTATGCGACTACTCTAGTAATATCTCCATTCTCGTGACATTGAATCGCGAATGTGCTTTACTTAGAATAAGGAGTCATTTCAAGATGGATAACAAGACAGAAATAAACGATTAAAGATATGTAAACAGGCTCTGCTGGTGTAAAGCGGGCTGCAACCAAAAAAGTTTAAATATAATGAACTTTGAGAACGTAGCCGATGGTTCAATGAGAGAACTTATTTTTTAATAATTCGTTCTTTTATTGGATCATTAGCTACCTTCTGAAGTTCATTGTGTCTAAATCGTTTTGCGACCTATTGTACATACAACTAATATAAGAGACATAATATTTCATTTCTCTCGCATTAGTTGCACATTAGCGGCACCTGTTTACATACTTGTCTACGCTGCAGATCTTAGCGCGTTGCTGAATTTCTTAAATACATGTCAAACGACGTGAATTAAAGCCGCAAGGAACGTGTAAAAGGAACTTCAATCAAATTACACGCTTGTACGTCTAGAAATTACACATCTGGACTTGTAAAGGAGTGTAAAAGGTGTTGTGCTTACATAGATGTCAGTACGAGGGATTACCTGTGCGTTTTGTTGGCAGGCGCTTAGTTGTGTGTGTCTCAGTGTCGCGCCTACCAGCGAAACGCACAGATAACTCATCATGCTGACCTGCATGCAAGTGTGACACGCTGTACGTTTAGGATGGAAGAAAAGACATTTGGATGTAAGTTGCATCCAATATATAACTTGTAAGGTATTCGTGTTGCGAGGAATACTCTTCGATGGCCGAATTGGTACAGCATCCTACCCTTGCAAGCGGGAGATTCTGTTCCGACTCCTGGCTGAGGCAGTGGTTTTTCGCAACACATAAAATGAGTAACAAAAAGTAATGCATGATTGAAGGGTCGGTTTGACGAAGACTGATTCGCCACGCACGATAGACCGGGAAAAATCGATCACATGCGTTTGATACTGTCACACATTGTTATCCTCTATAAATTTAACTTTATATTAGACATCGAGTAGCTTCTACAGCTCTTATATAGGCTCCTTTATAAATTAGTCGTAAATAATAAAAGTTGCCGAAAGATCATATTCGACCGCGCGAAAAGACGATCTTCCGACACGACATGATAATTCCGCAGATTTAGAAGGGGAACCGGTTACGAGGAGTTCGAAGGGCCGCGCGAGGGTAGCAAGGACAACAAGGGGTTCGAGGATGAGAGAGGATACAGCAGGCAGGCCTCGTTCGACTCGCTCCCGGAGCCGGAGAGGCCACCTTTGCGGCACATCGATACTTATTGCAAGCCGGAGTGCCCGTGCCTCTCGAAGAGGTACACCATCGCGACTCTGGCCTGTGTAGGTAAGACAATCGCACTCGGCGAGAACGCGAAGAGCAGCCGGTTACCTTGCGCGCGACTAACCGACCCGGCGGCATTCGCAGGCTTCGTCATTTCGTTCGGCATGAGGTGCAACATGGGCATGGCCAAGCTGGTGATGAAGAACACCACGAAAGAAGACGATAACAGCAGCATCAAGTTCAACTGGACGGTCGGCACGGAGAGCGCCCTCGACTCGTCGTTCTTCTGGGGCTATCTGGTCACACAAGTGCCCGGCGGTTTCTTGGCGTCTCTGTACCCCGCCAACAGGATATTCGGCGCGGCCATCGCGATATCTTCCTTCCTGAATCTCCTGGTGCCGGGCGCGCTGAATGTCGACCCCATTGTCGACATGTGCGTGCAAGTGCTGAAGGGTCTGGTCGAGGTGTGTACCCGGAAGGACACAGAATACAGATATCTGCGCGAGTGTCGGTCGCTGAGGCCGGTAGTAACGGATAAACATTGGTTTCTCCGCAGGGCGTTACGTATCCGGCGTGTCACGGTATCTGGAAGTATTGGGCGCCGCCTTTCGAAAGATCGCGCCTGGCCACGCTGGCATTTTGCGGATCGTATGCCGCGATGGTGATAGGAATGCCGCTCTCGGGTTACCTGAGCGCCTGGTTCGGCTGGACCGCGTCGTTCTACTTTTACGGTAAGCCGGACACTCGTCGCACGAGTTCTTGATCGCGCCCATAACGACGCAGCCGACGATGATGACGTTCGCAGGCGTGTGCGGCTTGATCTGGTACTGCTTCTGGCTGTGGCTGGCGTTCGAGAAACCGGCGAAGCATCCCAGCATCTCGGCCCGCGAGCTACGCTACATCGAGGACTCGCTCGGGCAAGGCCAGGCGCAAATGCCCGTACCTACGCTGACGACGACCCCCTGGCGGAAATTTCTCACCTCTATGCCCGTATACGCCATCATCGTCGCTAACTTCTGCAGGTCCTGGAACTTCTACTTGCTGGTGCTCTTTCAGCCGCGTTTCATGCACGAGTCTTTCGACATGCCCCTCGTCGAGGTAACGATATGGCGAATGGGGGAGTGTTCACTGTGACCTTTTTAATGGCACGTTCACGACTACGTAACGCATTTCGACAGACCGGGGTCATCGGCTCGCTGCCACATCTGCTGATGACGATGATCGTGCCGTGCGGTGGCTTGCTGGCGGACTATCTTCGTAAACACGGTATCATGTCGACGACGAATGTCAGGAAGGTCTTCAACTGCGGCGGCTTCGGCATGGAGGCGCTCTTCTTCTTGGTGGTGGCTCACGCGACCACATTCAGGAGCGGCACCGCGGCCACGATCGCTCTCGCGATCGGCGTCGCGTGCAGCGGTTTCGCCATCTCCGGCTTTAACGTCAATCACCTGGACATCGCGCCTAGATACGCGAGTATCCTGATGGGTATGTCCAACGGGATCGGCACTATCGCCGGCCTGCTGGTTCCTTTCTTCGTGGACGCAATCACGGCGAAGAAGGTATGGCAAAAAAAAGGCAGTTCAGATTTTAAATAGATCAAGAATAAGTTTACTTTGCAATGTATATTTAGGCGTGCAGTATAATTTATTTTAAATGAGATAAAAAAGTTTTTATTCTTTCGGACATATATCTTAAATGTTTATATTTACTTTAGTGACTGAATACGGATATTTAAACTTTCAACATAGAATATATACAGAATATATACAGAATATAGAATATATATAGGATGAAGGATATAATTGCAACCACTTTGCAAGGAATTGTGACGATGGATCACAAAATACACTTAAAATACAATAAATCGAATAGAAATTGTTTGAAGGTCGTATCGTTTAATATGATTGAATTTGTCTTAATATTATCTACAACTTTTGTCATAGAGAGTAAAGATTTATGAGATAAAGATTAATTTCATTTAAAAAACTGGAGATGATCTTAAAATCTTGAAATCTATAAGCGACGAAGAAATATTTGAATATTGCATAAGCTCTTTCGAATTATACAATATTCATTTGAATCAACTTTCGCTAAAAATATTTATGGCGTTATCGAAGTGGTTTCAGTTACGTTGCCTTACTTTGTATATTTAATATAAGTATATATATTTTTTATGTGAAAGTAACTCAAATATTCTTTCTCTTATTTAAAAATTAAAACAGTAAAAAAGTCCAAAACTAGTTCTGGTCCGTATCCGGTCATTGGTACTTTTGCCTTAATGCATAAGAGAAATCAGCAGGATAGATAAGTAAAATATGAGAAATTCTGCGCAGGACGCTCAGAGCTGGCGGAATGTTTTCATCATAGCCGCGTGCGTGCACATCTTCGGGGTGACATTCTACGCGATCTTCTGCTCCGGCGAGTTGCAACCCTGGGCTGACCCCACTTTGGAGGAGCAGAAGGCCTGGAATCCAATGGACGAATTCAGCCAGGCGAAACCACCTGTTCCCCCGCCACCGAAGACTATGCAATCTGAGTTCATAGTAAGTACGTCTAAGTTATTCGCGTCTAAGTGTTACTTGTCCGAATTGTTGCTGAAGCATTGCAAAAATAGGATGTCCAGTGTGAGTTCTGAGCGAAAGACGCAAGGCGAATGAACCGTTTTCCTTCAGAAACAGCCGTCTCTCGAAGGAGCCGCCAATGACAATTGGAACACTTACGAGCAGCCAGCGCCGCCCGAGAACCACCTGTACGCGCGTCAGGATAAAGCCCCCGTGATAAGCTACGGCTCGACGGAGAGCAGCAGTCAAGTCAACAATCCGTTCCACTCGACGAATCCGTTTGCCAGCGACGTCAACGCTACCCTGGTGCAGCCGCCAGCAACGGACGACTACACGCACGACGTCATGCACAATCAGCAGTGGAATTGAAAATGGTTCATCTCCGGATAGATCCATCAGATCCGCGGAGGGCAGGCAGGTATACTGCCCTTCAGAGATTGTAGGTCGTTCGTATCATTAGCTACCAACCCAGATCATCAGTTCCTCAGATATGCCACGTCTTCATTAATGAAGCTCTTGTAATTGCAGGCCGCAAAGTTCAAGTTTTACAGTAGTGGAAGTGGCTTTATTTCCCTTGAGAGGAGGAGGAGGGGAGAGAGAGAGAGAGAGAGAGAGAGGTCTTGGAGAAGGTTTTACTTTCGTTATTGAAGAAAATGGGGAAAAATTTAAGCCCGATTTGGAAAGTTGCGTTATCGCCTTATCTTCTGTTTGGTCAGCCGGCAAAGAGTCGAAATAATAAGTTTCATCAAATAGACGAAACTTCTAAAAAAAAAAAGATGCGTGAGGTGATTTAAGGTGACTCCAACATATTGGAGTCTCTTGATGCTAGCCGAATTGCTTAACGTGTCTGACTGTGGCATATCTGAGGTCCACGTAAAAGTATAAATGAGATTTCGAGTATAATCTAGCACGATTCGGGATTCAGCGAATCGTCGCGGTTGCAAGCAAACGTTTGTGCGCATCTCTGAATTTCACGTTGAGGATTCTCGGCGAATATTCGTAATCGGGGAAAGGGGGAAGGGGGGGAGAAGATACGATATTTTCGTTGCGCGTAATACCTAAGAGTGCAGAGAATGGCGCTGTGAATGACCATGCGAGCGACTCGGTAACGAGACTAGAGGGATCATCTCGCGGCGTCGTGAAATCAAAGCGAGATCCGTCGATCGTAATATTTTTTACAACGGTTTTGTGATAAGAAATGGCCGGGCTGCACGTGGCCCGCCACTCGAAGAACGACAATAAGTCCACAGTCTTCAGTCGTGCCTAAACACATGTCTAAGGACCGTTTCTTTTTCTCTCTTATGCACTTCAATTGTTCATTCGTCGAGTTCCGCTCTCTCGCGGCGGATTCTCATCTCTGAAAGTAAATGCGAAAGTAAAGCGGCGAAATGAGCCTTACAATTAGCCGCGACGATATTTAATATTTTGCGAAAGTTTCGAGACTGAAGTATACACCGCGTCAAGTCACAGCTTCGTTCGTTGTGCCGATTAAAATACTCTGTAGGCGGGCAAATTTCGCGGGGAGGATGTTTCCTCGAGTTAAGGGAAGATTAGATCGCATCGATAGCCCAAGGAATTCCTTAGCTTTCGGTATCCTTTATTAGAATGCACGACATCCGCGTGTGCAATATTCGCGAACGTCCTTCCTCCCTGCAAAAGGGGGATCAATCAATCAATTAGAATGCTGCGCGTCGCGGCGAGCAGATCGAGGTCCCAAAAGCGACAATAACGTTCAAACCTTCGCAGACAATAATTCTAGGCGGACAATAATTGAACGGCGAGGTTTGAGAGAAATAGCAATCGCGAGACCTTTCTCGGTGCGCGCGACATAGCTCAATCGCTGAAACTTTTAGGTATTCCCGGTTTTTCTCGGTGACTCGGTCGTTTATTTACACGAGGTAATAGAAACATAGCAATAAAAAGGGGAGAGGGAGACAGGGGGTCGAAGAGAGTCACGCGAATCGACATCAAACGTTCATCGAAATTAAAGTTATACACGCAGAGACGCGCGACGTCTTGATGCACACTTCGATATAGTACAATTAAATTCGCAATAACGACGATATATATTGTCGATTTATGCACGGCACAGATACCCAAGGGAGGTAACTTTGAACTGTATAAATTCGGTAGCTGTACGTCTTGTGCGAGAACCAGTATTTTGGAATAATCTTGGACCTTCCGAAACGAAATATGATATTTTATAAAAGATGAAAAAACATTTATTTTTCATTACGTTACGCATTGTCCCGTTGAGCGGCGAGTCAACGACGATATCAATGAAAATCCAAAAATTATCAAATTAATCGTCACGAGAAAATTGATCAATCGTCACGAGACACTCGAACGTCGGCGATACTCGCAAGGTATCTGTGTCGTGCAGATATCACGCTGCTCTAGTGAGTATGAAAAGACGCAGGGGCGAGCAGAAAGAAGGTAGGAAAACGCGATTATCAATTGATTCTTCGTTAATCTTTATCGCGAGGAGCAACGCGCGAATCGCTCGGAAGATCGCAAAGCGAGACGAGACTCGCGCTCGCGAGTACAAAAAAAAAAAAAAGAAAAGAATCAGATCCCAAACAGAGAAATCTTCGCGCGGGAGTTCTCTCGATTCGCGAAAACGAAAATTCAGACCACACGCGCGTTGTGCGACTTAAAAGTATGAAACCTATGAAAGTATTTGTGAGAAAGTCGTAAACTGAATGAAAGTCCTCACGAAAGTACTATCATAATAAGCTATTAGATAGATATAAGCCGTGAAAATTAAATATATAAAGATGAAAGTAAGATCAAAGAATTAGGCAGCGAGACAAGAGGAAGCAGTATATTATATTATTGTCTAGATGTATTTCATATACATACGTATATATATATTATTGTGCATACATACACGATCTCTATGCAAGACACATACACATATACACAGACGTGTACTCATTCTGTACTAGATACATATAAATATATATGTATGCTATTCGCGATCGCGCATATGCATGCGCGATTGAAGGCGCAAACAGGATGTATACAAGGAAACGAAGTTGAAGAAGCGTGCTGTGCAATGTGCCGGTTTTCGGAGACGAATGAGGCGACAATGAGAATCGGGCACTCGAGCCGACGAGTTTTGACTAGTTTCGATCTTCTATACCGAAAATAGCATGCCTGAAGATATCCGAGTTGAAATTTTGATTCTACTTTCGAACTCAATATTTCACCTGTCGCGTATTTTGACACTCTGCAAGCTGTATCAACTTCTTTTAATTCCGTCTAACCCATCAGCCTTGCCGGCAAGTCCTCTTTAGAATTTACAAGTTGAATTTTGTGCGTTTTCTTTAAAGAATTCTACCTTCTATGTATATTATGCATACATTGGTCCTTTAGAGTATACAGATGTTGGAAAGTTCAGGTTGAAAATAGGGTTAAAATTTCGACTCGGGTAGATACACCGGCCTTTACATTGAACTCTTTTTTTGATCGACCAAAGTGCCTCTAAATGTGACTTGTAGACCTTTTCATCGACTCTCAGTCACATTTAGAGGCGCTTTTATCGATGAAATGGAGTTTATCGATATCAACAAGAGTCATTGGATAACTTCAGAGTTTAGAATAAAAACCGTCGAATATTTTTCTAATGAAAGTAACAATCGAGAGAGGGAGTTCCTACGAATTTCATCCCGGAGACGCGAGAGCAAAGCACAGGATTTTATTTGTCTTATAAAACGATGTTTTTGAACGAATATTATCTCGACAGAACCGACTGGTTTAATTACCAAGATATTTTACGTTAAAGCACTAAAAGGATCCACAGAAAAGAAACGATATATATATATATATATATATATATCGTGTGCAAGTGAATTTCGATGGAGGAGAGTTTTTGGAGATCATCCTCGCGCGTTTCTGCGGTATCAAAGATCGAAAACCACGTGGAAATTATTCGGCACGACTGCCCGATGAGAATTCCAAAACAATATGCGTATACACATATAATACAAATGAAATACACACACGGTGTATCAAAGCTAACGGCGACGTCGTAGCCCTGGCGAAAATGAGAGGCAAGAAAGAGTATCAAATGTCTAATAACGTTTTTCCTCTGTTTGCCCTGAAGAGATCCGAAACTCTCTCTTGTGCAAAAAAGAGTTCAGAGGTAAAGCGTTATTAGACACCATTTTCACCGGGGAGCGCAATCCTGTGCGTAAACTCACGAGTCGAGCAGCCGGGACTTTCCGTTAGCTGAGGATCCATGAAATTAGTCAATTTATGCGAGTCTTTTCAACGCGATGCACACACCGATATGCACGCGAAGCCGCGTGAAGTGTGCGCAAAGTATCGGCAAAGTGTCGCGTCTCGCGTTCGATAAGTAAGATTATAGTACATGTCGTGCGTTATGCGTTATTATATATTGTATACATACACATACGTTACTATATACACACCGGCGTGATGTGTCGTGACTGTGATTAAACACGCTCACGACGGCGACGTGTGTGTATGACTGATCGTTGCAGCGGGGAACGCGTCTCGACTCGAGTGGCGCGGTTCGTTCGTTACGAGAGGGACGTGAAGGGGGCGCGCAAGAGGCGCGCGCGCTTCAAGGCATTAATCTTCCCCGGGCGCTTCATCGTTAAGACAATAATACTTTTCCAAAGCCTGATGCACGTGTTACGATTCAGCAACAAAATAGAGTCTAATTGTTCGTTTGTTCGTTTGAGCTGTGTGCGTGTTTTATTGCAACGATACTCGCGCGTACGGAGTGTTTGGTCGCGTCCGGTGAACAGATCTCGAAAAGTTTCGCCACGAGAATCGATCGATTTCTCTAGGCAACATAGTTGGTGACAGAAAAGGAATTGTAGTAAAAATGAAGTGTCAATTAATTTACGGAATATGAGCTGATTAGTGGGACAGTTTTTTGGCGAATTGTACTTCAGAGTTGCAAGTGGGAGAGACCGAAGCTAGATGCCCCGTATATATCAAAATTTCGAAGTTATAATTCTTCAGATTCCTAATTGTTATGACAGATTAACAAAGTACAAACGTAATAGAGGCTGCTTTCCTTTATATGTCAATGCCCGCCACGCATATGCCCTATTAATCGCATATTTTGTTTTGTAATAACCAAAATACAAACTTGTAGCAACGTGGCCATCTTTTCTTAGTACTAAAATATGTATTCTGATTGGTAGTTCCGGAGTCTCCGCGAGAGATATCATAATCTTCCTGTTGACCTTCAATTATGGATCAACTTTACCTTGCCTATGTACTCGATTTCAACCATTTTGCAAATGAAAATTGCTTTTACGGAACGACATATCGTACATAAGAAACTTTACTCCAGCTAACAACACGTCGCTTGACTTTATTTACTCATAATGGGGAAAATATTAATAAAAAATTCCGAGAGGCTCACTTTGTTTCGAAATCAGTTTTTTCTGTTTCTCAACTATAACATTATTCCAATTTTGGTGGATCTCAGGGAGTACTATCTATGTTCTGAAAGGATCATTTCGCGATTTCGTATCCACTGTTTCTCTTGAGATAGGTACTGAGAAAAACACATAAGCAATATACTCTTGAGGCCATCTAGAAGCGCGGTCTCTCCTACAATAAACTTGAATTCAAGCAGATCTCTTTTGACTCAGCAGGATGCTCAATCGATTTGCAAGTTACAAAACGTTCTCGATTAAATTTTTTATTAGAAGGACAATCTGACAGAGCAAGTCGTAATCTCGCAAATTTCGTTGGAAAAATTTTCAATGGGAAGAGAGAAAAGGGGAGAAACATCGCTGCGTACTCCTGTTACCAAACACTCCGTACACGCAACGATAACAAATTTCACTCTTCGTGACATCAGTGACAATGCAGGGTGGATAATGACGGGTCGCGCTTAGAACGCTCGCATTAATGACGACACGAAACGACAATGATGCCGCAACGGCGGCGGGCATTTTTTTCGCGCGGTGCATCGACCGCGCCAAGCTTTAAAAAAGGCGCACACGATGATAGAAAGTCGGAAACACTTGCGACACACACAAAATTAATGACATGCGTGCGATAACTGTCATTTAACCGTTGCGCCGTCCGCGTCAGCGTTGCGTCCAGGGAGAAATGATTCGTTGTCGCGGATTAACGTTGGGAAAGGAGTACCTGAAACTCGGTCGGGGAGGTGATAATTTGCCTGAAAACGTAACGTGAAACACACAACAGCGAAATACTTTCCCTCGGCGTGCGTGGTCGGAAGCGAATCAATTATCATGTCGGCAGTCGCGGTGAAATATAAATACAAGATGCAGGAGGCGGGAGAGACGAGTGCAGGGACCGACCTGACGAATCGATTCTAGACTTGTAAAAATATCCTGTTCGGCGGAACATTTCGCTCGTTGCAACCAACTTGGCAGAATCATTTGATCCTCTAGACACTCGTATTCTAAGCAATTGCTTCTTTCTTTCATTATGTGTCACGATAATATCGCCCTTTATCTTTCGTGCGCTTCGCGTGTCTTGTCTTTAAATTTCACTCGACCTCAGTTCTAATCGCGACTCGTCCTTCATGCGGGATTAAGAGAGTGTTACGTTTTAAGGGTATCTATATATTATATATTCATCATTGTATCGAAGTAGTGACTGGCCTAACGTTATCCACGACTTCATTCACCATACCAGGAAGGCGGTTTCTATGTGGACTTGAGATATCGATAGATAATAATTATTACGAGAAATCTAGGATAAGTTCTAATGCTGTTCGAACAATAATACTGATACTGATATATATACATATATATATATTTACATATACATATATACATATACATATAATATATGTATAGCTCCAATAATAATTTACGACAATAAATAGACGGGACACGGGGTGGGCCGATACAGCCTGTAGATGCAACCGCAATTTGCTCGATGAATTCGCGAGAATGTCACAGAAAGAAGACGCACTTTTGCGATAACGATCATTACCGATCGCGAGATTTGTCGTTGGCGTTAGACTCGATTAGCATAGCTTTATTTTCGGCACACCCTGTAGCGCTTCGCAGCGACAATTAGCTTCATACAGCAGACTCCATTTGCGCCATTCCCTGAGCATTGCGACACCGGGAATTTCCAATCGTATGCAGGCGCATCATGTCTGAATATTCATATATTATTGATTGTTTAATCGGTAAGTCAGCAACGATGCTCTAAACCTGCCGGTTTGTCTGTTTGAAAAAAATTTCGATTAACGTAAAGTTTAACCTTAAATCAACTAATCTCTCGATCTGCAAGGAAACTTTTAGAAACATAATATTTAAAGGAAATGCGTAAATTTATTTTTTCAAAGGATTTATTTGTGTAAATTTATTTTTCCAAAAGTTCTATTGTGCAAATTTATTTTTTTCAAGAAATATCTTCCAAAGGATTGAGCGAAAATTAAGTCGGAATTTAGATACCTATGTCTTCGTTTTAGAGGGTTTTATTTTATATTAATCTATTATTTATCTTTTTACATTGCTTACTTAAATGTGCTTTTATTACGGTTTTTGGATTGAGAGATTACCCAAGTGTTTTATATTAACCTGTTATTTATCTCTTTACATTGCTTACTTAAATGTGCTTTTATTACGGTTTTTGGACTGAGAGATTACCCATAAGTGTTATTTCTTCTTGTTAGAGATGACTAGTGGACACTCGGAGTGATCGTATCGATGCCACGCGCATCATTCGCGCTATACTAGCTGAACGTAAAGCTGTCAAACCGACAGGTATTGACAGATAAGCTGTCTTGGAGCATCGTCACCGAACAATTAACAATCATGATGCGCGAATATTCAGACATGATGCGTCTGATTGCAAATTTCCACGTCAATGCACAGGGAGCGCAGAAATGGAGTCTGTTGTACACGTAGTCGAGATCACAGAGTTCTCTATTTGCTTCTCGCAAGTTTTACTAGCGGTATGCGAGCGAAAGAACATTTTACTGAAAGAGCGTCCTTTTATTTTTGCTGGTGTGAAAGAGAGATATGAAAGTTCGTGCTTGCCGTTAGAGGAGGACTTGTTCGTGTGTGTTTCGCGTGAGATTGAAACGAGATGGAAGGGACGCAAAAATATGATGAGTGTATTCACGTTTTCTTGTTAGAAAACTCATATATTTTTGTGAAGAGTTTGCATGCGGACATTTTATTGTTCCACGAACGACAAACGCGAGAAACGGGGAAGGGCAGACTCAGATGTACTCCACACAACACAACATTTAAAATCGGGACATAAGACGTCTGAAAGATGTCTTAAAGACGTCTTATGTCCCGATTTTGGACGTTGTGTTGTGTGGGACATATCCTTACGGGAACTGTAAACAAAACCTACATGAATGATACAATAATTCGTGGAATGAGTAAAATAATGCATATTTTGAGTTATGGACCCTAACAGCACAAACATCCAAAGGACATGCAGAGTATGTCCTGAGGGTGTCTTGGGGACGTTTCTACGTCTTCAGGACATTCCTGGGACGTCCCCAGAACACCTTGTGTTGTTTTGGGAAATACAGATACCGTAAATTCGATATCATATCTTTCTCCAATCCAGAATGGCGGAAAAAAAAAAAGAATCGTATACACAATTAAACGGGATTTGTTTTGATGACTGGATTTTCCTTTGGCAATATTTAACATACACAATTTGTCACGAGCTACATAGCATAGGAAAACAATGCGCTTATCATCATAAATTCGTGCTTAAACATTCTCGCATAAATACAATTTACAAGAGGACTTACCATTACATCAATTCAGTTGCGCCTTTGTGATTCTAATAGTCACGATGAAAGTGCATTATACTTACCATTCTGGAAGAGAACACAAAAGCACTTAACGGTTTACGGTATGGAACCACTTCTACTTATATATTTATATATACATATATACATACAATACACGCACAGTATGTTCGTACATGTATGTATATATCATACGCAATATGTACAATGCTATATACATACAAGCATTCATAGATCGTCGCTCTATTTGTATATCCTCACAGACGTGTAATTAAACGATAGTAATTTGCGCATCTCGATTAAACATGTTTACGAAAGTGTATCAATTATTACTATACTGACAATAACGATAAAAGTTCGTGAAATAATGAAAGTAATATGTTGTAAAGACAATAAGTAGGCAGAGAAAAGTTTCAGAGATATATATATATATATATATATATATATATATATATATATATATATACATATTATATTATAATATATTGTAAACCACTTGTGAAACTCTTGAAAAATTTGCGCGCGTTACGTTCGCAAGAAAGTTACACCCTCAACAACATAATGTACATTTCCCCGCTTGAGTTTGATTTGAAAGGTGCAATTGGGAGATTTTATTCCACACACATTGTTAGAAGTGCACATTTTGTTGATGCGCCCCGTCGGCGGGGAGAACACTGCAAGAATTTCATGCCGCGAATACAAATTGCACTTAATCAATAAGTGTTACATACGACTAAGCTTTCGATAGCTCGATGTCACGAGTGTCAAGACTAGCGAACTTCCTCATTGTTACCACTTCCGTTTTGTGGGATTTAGTACTCGTAGTTACCTCCGGAATATGCTCCTCACGAGTGGAGATCCGAGGAGGCTTGTTTTGCGTTACGCGGAATGTCTCGTCGTTTAGTGACACTGCAATTACCGACTACTGTAATCGCAAAATTGAATCACGATTGCACGAGCGTTCTGTACAACCGACGTGCTGTTCGACAGTTGCGTTTCCCTCGGCCGTTTGCGTTTTACGATCCCAACGACGAGACTTTATCTTTGCGATGCGTTTGATCCACGAGCGCGAGAAGCACTTATTTCCGCGTTGTGCGTTGTACGTTGTTTTCCATGGTATGTCTCGCTGGTTGAGAAATACTGCGTTAAAGCTTAGCAGACAATAATACGATGTTAGCTATGTATACATATATTATATATATACATATATATATGTACACATTTGTTAAGAATATTAACGTGACTAGGATTACGCGTGAATCAAAGGAATCTGTTCTTCCGCGCTGTGCAAATAATTAGTGGCGTTAATGATGGCGCGCGCGTACACATACACACGATCGTGATTCACACGTCTTCATGTTCAGAGACCTCTCTCCGACATATAGGGTCGCCCCCTAATGAGCATTCATTGAAGTCAACCGGTCTATCGTCGATCCTCTTCCAATTCTGCCTGGGCTCTGTCCCGAAAGAGTCTGCTAAGTCCTAATTGGCTTCAATTAATGCCTGCCGCGATGGCACACACAGTAGACAGCATCGTAAAGTTGGATGTTTAGTGATAATGTCTCATTCCCCGTTCTCATTGTGGAACGCGAAATTAATTGGCTGACGAATAGAGATCACCATCGAGAGACGAGCATCCATCGTTTGCGCGATTCTACTCTGTACATTGTCACGAAAACTCACTCTTTACGAGAACAATTAACACACACACACACACACTTCGAGCGTTTTCTAACGATCTTCGAAGCGAGATGTACACGCGTCTGTACACGGTGCGAAACTCGAGACTATATATATACATATATATATATATTTTGATCGTTTATATTATAGTAGGCCTGTGCTCTATATACGTGTAGTCGCATATTAGAGATTATTGTTACACGCAACGCGGTGCAATCTGGTTTGTTACTGAATTATGACATACAATAATTATTATGTAAAATATGTATATGTATACTGTAATTTTCAGTGTATTATGTAATTAAAACACAAGAAAGAGAGAGAGTGAGAGAGAGAGAGAGAGAGAGGTAGATAGATAGATAGAGAGGAAGAGAGGCAGGAAAGGAGAAAAAGAGATAGAGATATCGGCAAGATATTGACAATAAATCGTAAGCCGATCTTTTTCAAGACTCGTTCCTCCTCTGGATCTTCGATTAACAAGCTCGCGCTTGCGGAGAGAAGCACGGGCGTAATAATAAATGCAACGATCATGGTAAGAAGACTCACTTTGCATTCATTTCGCATTTATTTCTTGTATCGCACGCGAAGAACGCGACCGCGTCCTACAAAATCTCATGAATGAACAGCAAAAGAAAGATGAGAACGCCACCAGCATAAAAACATCCGTGCTGGGGCAAAACATGAGAATAATTTTTCCATCCTTGCTCAACTGGAGACGGCTGCTAATCGGCACTAACAGCCACAGATATGCCCTCGTTCGCGTTTATCGTTATCGCGGAGATCGTTTGTCGCGCCTTGACACCTGCCGCATTGTCGTACATTTGCATATCGTCTCGTGCGTGTACATAATAGCTACCTGCATGCTATATTTCCTATAGCGTTCACCCGATATTGTAGAGTAAAGTGCACCGATGTGCAACGAGCTCGGGAATGATGGTTAGACGTTTCAATCGATCCTTTCGTCAAACGCACGATTTAAGTGTTGGGTAATTAATGTCGCGACAAAAATATTAACTGTATATCCAAGGCTGTCATGCAATATAATTGTATTAAAAGAAAAACAAGATTCGTGTGCCGGATGTTCAGCGCGTGTAATTTCAGTGTGGCAGGAGATAACAAAATATTAAATTGAAATATTAAAGCGGTAAGTATATCAACTCATAATTTTCAATAAGCTGATTTATTTTTGCATCTTCCGCGCTTTAAAAATGTGTATCAGCCGGTTAGTGTTGGAACGATGGTATAGATGGAATAGATGGTAATTCGAAAAGGCTGATTTCGGTGAAAAAAAACCGCAAGAAAGAAAACTTTCAAGCTCAACAAATAAATAGTATTCTATCGCTTTTGCGATATGCGACCGAACGTTCTTCATCAGTAAAACAGAAAACACTCCGAAATTTTTAATATCATTTTTCACAGGTTTTATGTGTTATAGCACCTTTTCCCTAAGTTAAGTAAATCATATTTGCATCCTCGGCAGCATTTTTTTCAATTAGAAGACAAAAAATGCAGTGTCTAATGCTGCTTGTCGGACTCTACCTATATTATTTTGCGAGCTTATATCAGCTTCGCTAAATTATATAGCGCATTTTAAACCTTAAGGTTGGCACTACAAAACCCACTAAACGGCAAAAAGATATCTAAATTTAAAGCGGTGTTACGATTGATTAAAAACACCGAATTAATTTACGTACCTATATATATATATATATAATTTTTTTTAATCAATCATAATACCGCTTTAAATTCATATATTTTCTTGTCGTTTAGTAGGTTTTGAAATGCCAGCCTTAAGATTTAAAATGCGCTATAACTTGACTAAATATATATATATATATATGTGTGTGTGTGTGTGTGTGTGTGTGTGTGTGTGTGTGTGTGTGTGTGTGTGTATAGATTCACAAGGAACATTTACCATACGACTATTTTCCTCACAAGGAGAAAGCTCACTTTGATAATTCTTATCCTCTGCGCAAGCGGAAGATTGTTGTGGTAAATCCGGAAATAACTAAAACACGAAAGCAAACTCTCTTCTTCCACCACATTTTACCGTACAATTACGACAGCGATTTGTACATACTATAATCATTAAACTGACGCTTCGAAATCATTTCTCGCGCATTGCGCAAAGCATTGTTTGCCGACAACATGCCATTTAGTTACACGCGGAGAGCATTTCAGCGGAGGAACTTACGTGAGAATTAACTCCCTAATAATATCTGCGAAATTAATTACCTGCGCACGCGGAAAGATGCTTTCGCGATTGCCTAATGTGTCCATCGTCATTCTAAATGCCCAGGAAAACGCGCTGGCGCGAAGCGTATTTCCGACGAAGTGGAGGCTCGCGTGGCGCATTCTCTGCGCTTTTAGAAAACGCGACGGAATGTTGATCGCTTCCGCCGCTTTAATTATTTTTACGTTAACGTACATCTTTCTCTGACTCGCGGGGAAATGAGGAACGATCGTCGGGAAACTGGAGATCCTGACAAGAAGGAACCACACGGTGCGCGGCGTTCCAGGATCAATACCGATGACGATGACGATGGATCAATACCGATGACGATGGAACTGCAGGATTTTCGCTCAGATAGTCGTGTGCGAAATCGACCGTCTTGACGATGTCCGATCGCCCTCACAAAATGAGAATGCCAGAATTTTTCGTAAAATTCAGAGCGCTTAAGTTACACTGTCAACTTTAAGCGACAAGACGCTCAGTAATTGAACATGTCCTACAATGATAGAAACACTAATAATACACTTATATTTGTAACAATATTTATTATATTTTCAAAAAAACCTCTGAAATTTTGTTAAAAGATATTTCTTTATTAAAAGACACTTATTATTTATTAATATTACATTAATATTCATTGATTATCTTATTTATTATTTATCTTTTTTATTATTTTCCGATGACTAACAAACCAAAGTTTCATATAAACATTAGTCAGCAATTTAGTTAATTATTTATTAATAAAGATGTAGTGAAATCGTGCTTTCTTATTAGCTCAGTCACTAAAGCCTATTAGTTAATGTTTGTCTCACGTGAGATACTCAGATTCTTATTCAAAATAAGATTCAAGTTTTCCAGTTGAATTATATAACATATTGAATTATATAACATATATGACATTATGGTCCATATTGATGTATAGTTAATAAAACTTTCCTCAGAAGAAACGCTCAGATTTCAATTTAAAGTCGAGTCTTTTAGCTGAATCGAGATTGTGATTGTGACGAGTCATATATATATTATTTAACTCGAATAAAATATTTTGCTCTAAATTCAGATGTAAGTAAATCACGTGAGACAAGTTTCAAGTAACGACTATTAATACGGGTCTATATCTGTAATCGCGACTCAACTGAGGAAGAAAGTTCTCATTTAAAACTCCTGACCCCTCGCATTATTTATCTCTTTTTAATGACGTCAGAAGCGAGAAAATGCATGTTAAAAATTCTTGTGAAATACGTTAAAATAAAAATATATATCCATAAAATAACATTTGCAATCGATTAAACAAATTTGTAAGATATTCCGTGCACTCCCGTTTTGCTCTAACAATCAATAATTTATTGTAAATTAACCTGAATATAAATAGCCGAAAAATAGGTTAAGAATATGAATTGTATGTTACGTTAATTCACGTTAATTTACGACAAATTATTGACTGTTAGAGCAGAAGGGGAGTGCACGGAATATCTTACAAATTTGTTTAATCGATTGCAAATGTTACTTTATAGACATATATTTTTATTTTAACGTATTTCGCAAGAATTTTTAGCATGCATTATCTTCTAACGTCATTAAAAAGAGATAGACAATGTGAGAGGCCAGTGCTAAAATTCTAGTAACTCATTATTGGAGCGACTCTAGCAATTCGTTGCGCAACTTTTCTACGATGTAAAGCTGCGCAACGATAACGAAACTGTCGTTAACTTCAGTAACGAGTTACAGAATCCCAGCACAGGAGCCTTAACTCGAGTCTGAGCATCTCATTTGAGGGAAGTTTCAAGCAACGACCACTCATACGGGCCTGGGACGTTTACCCTAATTATCGAATATCGCGAAATGTTTCGAGTGTGCAAGAGCATCGGCGGTCAGCATCGTGGCATCCGGTCGCGTCTGTCGATGATCACGCACGTCGGTAAGCGTCGCGTAAGCGGGAAAGAAACGCCGGGCCGACGGGACGAGCGAGAAGAGCGCGGTTCCGTCGTTACTTTCTAAATTCCCCCGCGGGCGTATATATCCCCCGATGACTTTGCATTTTGCAATACGCCGCGTCGCGGCGGGAATCGCGTCTGTGCCACGTTTTTCCTGACCGCGTGCCTGGATGTTATATCACAAACCACGGGTTCGCGGGAGATGGCGGTCAGTGCCGTGAGACACCTCGCGCTCGTCCTTTGCGTCCTGCTGCAGTACCGTAAGTACCGTCGACTCGACGTCCGCTTCTCTTCCACCGTCGTCGTTCCACCGTAGCACCAAAAGCTTGAATCTTTCACGGAGAAAGAGAGTTCGATCGCAACAGCTACTCTTAAACATTTCTGCTGAGTTAAAAGACATATTTTATGAAAGGGACTCGAATCGATTATCTTAGGACGTCTGTAATGACCGATGTATTAATTGTTATGTAGAGAAAAATCCGCGAGTGTCAGTTTCTTGAAAGAAACTTTTCCAACGCTTCAAATTTCCGGGATTTCGCGGGTACGCGTCGCCGTTCGATTGCAGTGCGACGGATCCCTGCGCGATTTGAGGCGCGAAGATGGGGTGCGATAACTCGAGGGAGAAACGTTTATTATAGTGCACGGGAGACTCATTCGTTTCGATCGAAACGACGTGGATTGGTGAGTTAGAAAATGAGAGTGTAATGCGAACGTTATGTTAAGATGAAACGGTGAATCGCGTTTGTCCGCACCGCAATAAGATTTCGTCTGAACGTGTCTCCTTGAAAATGATCTCGATTCGTCAACACATGTCCGATCTCTTATTCGTAGGCTGTTCGTTTCATCATGTATTTCTTATCGATTTGCTTCTATCAACTGAGTAAAGTGCATTTTCTTATAGCAATGTTGAAAACCTTGTTTTAATAAATGCACCCATGAATGATATTTCCGCGGGATGATTTTTTTTTTTTATCAAACTTAGCACCAAAAGCTTGAATCTTTCTCGGAGAAAGAGAGTTCGATCGCAACAGCTACTCCTAATCATTTCTGATGAGTTAAAAGACATTTTATTTTATGAAAGGGACTCGAATCGATTATCTTAGGATGTCCGTAATGACCGATGTATTAATTGTTATGTAGAGAAAAATCCGCGAGTGTCAGTTTCTTGAAAGAAACTTTTCCAAAAATGTTTTTCCAAAAAATCAAAAATAGAAGAAGGGTAGTCTGAAATACCTCGCATCCTCAGTATCGCGCTCCGTGTATTTATAGCATCGGTGAGTGACAAACTAACGAGAACCACGGCATTGTCGACCTTCACCTAGTTTCGTCCAATGGTTTGATAACTACTATGATTCTCATTATGCGATGGTGATCTAATAACAAACCTTTAATTGAAAGCGTTAACTCACTCAAAAGTGGAAAAGGTAACGATCGATTCGTTGTATTTTGCAGACGGCTATGTGACGGCTCAAAATAAGACTCTGAAGGATCTCTTCAACAGCACGTCTTGCGCCAAGCCGCCTTACACCTGCCCGCATCCGCAGATAGAATTCTATCTGTACACCAGGTACCACAGTCCCTCTTGACAGCACATTAATCTTTCCGAGTAAATTCCCTGGCTGCAACATACATCTCAATTTACGAAAATTAGATTTTATAGAAATTATATTCTCGTGAGAATATTAACTTTTCAATCTCTGAGTCGAATCAATCTTAATTAATCTGTCTCTCTGTCACCCTCTCCCTTTCTTTCTCCTTACTTTATGCGGAAATGAGATGATGGTTGATCTGTTCGGATCTCCCGCGGATGAAATTTTGCACATTAAGATAACGCTTCGTTTGTCTCGAAGGACGAACTGCGAACGAGAGAACGGTCAACGTCACGACTCTCGATTTCAAGATCACGATCATTTCAACCTGTACTGAAAGTGGCCTCCTTTCAAGGCTTACCTTTCTCCCGCGTCTATAGTATCGTCGCTGCCAGGTCTCGAATGCTCTCACTATCGTCTATATTTACGTAGCGAACGCACGGCGGGCGTACGAGACGAATGGGACCGTGGCGGAAAATTGTCCGAGTCGCGCAACCAGACTAACGTCTCTCTCTCTTGACTTTCAGAGAAACGCAGCAGGACCCGCGTCTGTTGGACGTGCGAAACTTCAATTCTCTCCGGTACTCGAAATTCGACAAGACTCATCCGACGAAAATTATCATTCACGGCTTCGGCGGTGGACGAAACTTGGCACCCAGCACGGATCTGCGAAATGGTAAGATGGACGCGTTTCTCTGTTCAAATGACACCCCGTTTCAAGTTCGTAAAGCACAATCTTTGTTTACTTATATGAGAGGAGTAATGATTATGATAATCATAAGCGATAGCGCGCGATAAAAGTATTTATAGTTACGAGAAACATATTAATTGCGGACTTTAGTGTCGTCTTAAAGTACAGTTTTATATAGACGCCAAGTTCAGAATCTGTCAATCTGCCAAGTACCGAATCTCTCGAAACAGAATTCTCGTTCGCTGTTCGAGTTCGTGCAACGTACAGGCATAAGTCAAAGGAGAAGATAAAAAGAGTTACTATCTGGAGAATCGCCAGAGAGACAGAGAAAGAGTGAGAGAGTAGCCGTAACGCACCTTCGATTTCAGCGTATTTCGCGCGGGGCGATTACAATATCATAATCGTGGATTACGGCTTTTTGGTACGCGAGCCCTGTCTCGCGCAGATCCAGTGGGGCCCGGACTTCTGCTCGCAATGCGTCGCTCAGCTGGTGAAGTACCTGAGGGACCATCCCCGGGGCACGCGGGTGGAGAACATACACGTGCTCGGTTACAGCGTGGGCGCGCATATCGCCGGACTCATCGCGAATTACCTGCCCGATGACAAGCTCGGGAGAATTACGGGTAATTGCTCGTATGCCGATCTCGCAATTTGTCTCTCGCACTTTCTTTCCGATACGACGCGCGTACGGCAGACAGGAGACGCTCGCGCGTCGCTTTGCAAAAGCGGTCAGAGATAACTCAAGTGCTTCCGCGACACGCAGGCCTCGACCCGACGATATTTTTCTACATGAACGGCAACCGCTCGATGGATTTAGACGAGACCGATGCTCATTTTGTGGACGTGATCCACACGGGCGCGGGGATCCTGGGGCAGTGGGGGCCCAACGGCCACGCGGACTTCTACGTGAACGGCGGCTCGAGTCAGCCCGGGTGCGCCACTTCTTCTATACTCCGTAAGTAGCGCCAGGTAGATCACCCCCTAGAGAGAAGTGAGTCGAATCAGGTACGAGACGAAGGAGTCGTGGAATTCCAGTCGACCCGAACCATGTAGAAGACCATAGGGACACGTACGACGAGAGTGATAAAGATAGATTTGATTTTTTCGGTGCGCCAAACGAACATCTCCTCCGCAGAGACGCTCTCGTGCGACCACACCAAGGTGACGCCGTACTACATAGAGTCGATCACGACGAAGAAGGGATTCTGGGCGGCGCCGTGCGCGAATCTGTTCTCTTACCTGATCGGATGGTGCAATCCGAAAAGAGAGGAGTACATCTTAATGGGGGAGGATTCCCCTCATACGTGAGTCAACTCCATATGTTCTTGTTTTGTTTCGCTCCCCTGTGATCTACTAAGCTTTGTCAGAGTTTTCGACATTTACCAGGCCAGAACTCATTGTTTCTTTAATTATTCTAATCTGCTGTCGTGGATATACGAGCTTACTACAGAAAATTTTGCATTAAAAAGTTTGCGGCCAAATTTAACCTCATTTTGCATTCAAAATCTTGTTATTTTTTAATAAAATTGTAGCTATTCATAAGTAAGTTAAAGATATCTGCGAAATGATAGAAATGATCGAGCATCGTGCTGGATACACTTCAATAGCTTTATCACTTATTAGGTCAAAATGCGTTAAAACGATGCTGGACACTGATATAACGCAGTTTCGTAGTTTTCATATTTCTTCTAATTGGACGTATCAAATTGAAAATTCTCTTACAGAGTGAAAGTACAAACGTTAATGAATGACTCATGCTAAATAATTGCATGAAATCAACAAAAATTTTTTTATTTACCGACCGATGTTAAAAAATTTGTTTATTAATTCTATTTAACTGCTTAGCATCAGCCATTCAGTAACGTATTTATACTTCCCCTGTAAAAGTATTTTCAATTTAATGCATTCAATTGGAAGAAAAGTAAAAATTACGTAACTGCGTTAGAGGTCGGTATCTAGCATTGCATTTTGATCTTGTAAGTACGATAAGTTTTACTGAAGTTTAGTGTACCCAGCGTCTTCCAATGCTCGATTATTTCAGACGAAAACACACACTGTCTGAAAGACAAAAATTAGTAGCCGTTTCGCTTCATTAACGCTCACGTATAAAATCGACAGAGCACGCGGCATCTTCTATCTGTCAACAAACGCACACAAACCGTACGCCCGAGGACTGCCCGAAAAAAGCCAGCGTCGGACAAGTCGGAAGCAATCGTCCTCCCGCCAGTACTGAGCCTGTTGAAGCAACTAATCAATATAATTATAGAGTAGCGTTAGCTGTGAGTCAGGACTCGCTCAGAGAGAAAGAGAGAGAGAGAGAGTTTCCTTTTCACAGCTTCACGCAACTCTCTTCGCAAGCAAGATCCCGATCATTTGTTGCTCGTCTTTTCCTCGCCGTGCAGGAAAGCGCTTTCTTTTCCTCTTTTATAAATCAATTCTTTCAGTCGCGAAATGAAAAGCAGCAGCGGTGTACACCTCACGTATCGTAGTCTGCGTTCAATGACATCCGATTAACCGACGTACGGCTCGACGTTCCATGTGTCCACGTAACACTTTCACTTGCCGCACTTCTCTCGCTCGTAACCCGGGATCTTATTCGCGCGTTTATCTAGACTCTAGCACTTCGTGCTTGTTTACTGATCGACTCGTTTCGCGATACGTTCATAGGCGAATCGACTCGTAATCTTGCAAATGTATTCATACGATTTAATGAAGTAGCGTCGTGTCCTCGCGCGAAAGAAACCGGACTCGACGAGGTTAAATCACGGTCATTGATTGTCATACATGATTTCGTAAGTGGTGCTAGTTTCTAGTTTCGAGTATCCATCTCGTGTTGACGCTCACAGCGTTATCTTGAGATATAGCGAGGAAAAATAATTTATTTTGATAAACATAAGAAAGATCGTGCGTTCCTTCGCATCCTTCGTCGACGGGAGGAGCTCCTAGCTCCGACGTCTTTCTTCGCTCCAGCGTAACGTTATATTATATATACTTATTTTTATATGTAATTTAGGCTTTACAAGTTGCGCGATGCAATTAGTTTAAGAACCCACGATTCTTGGAGAGCGGAGAGTTTACTGTCGACTTGTAAAAAGAGACTTTTAGAATACAAATGTCGCTCAGAGAGAACCGTAGCGTTGCTTTATTTACTTCACGATCTATCCGCCGCCTCATTCTCTCTCTCCCTCTCTCTCTCCCTCTCCCTTTTTCTCTGTTTCAACGAGTCAGACACAGGTATACAGGTGTAACAATATCAGAGAGGCCATTTATGTTAACAACAATATTTATTACATAATAATATTACGGTATAGTAATAACTTCTATGGATTTACAGTACACTGCCGCGCTAGTCCTTAATAATATGTATAATATGTAATGGAATGATTACAAGTTCCTCGCTTCAAGTCGGAGGCTCCTCGATGGCCTCGATCTTTGCTTGTTTTCCTACCTTGGTGGCTCCTTCGCGAGTTTCCCTATGTTCTTTCTCAAGCAATTCTTACGCGGACGGTGCTCCCGACGTCTATCCACGCGCACAAGCGCGCACACACACACACACATGCGTGCATAGGTAGGCAAAAATGCAACCGATTCCTTTCTCCAGAATATCGGTCCGATCTCGAAATTCCATGAGCGCCTCGCTCGAGCATCGTCCGCGTAAGTTTCGCGCAAGACGCGAGATACCTAGAAAACCAAGTGTTACCTTACGGCAAAGAACGCGACAATCTATCGTAAAAAGTGGACAGCACCAATACCTTCTGGTTAGCTTATCGTCGTCGAAATCTAATCTCAGTGCAAGGATTCACGTTTTGCGTGACGATGACGGTGTGGTCGAGACTTGATGCAAAAGGTAAACGCAACGGACTTCTCTTTCGATTCCGACAAGATCGGTGAAAAGCTTCGAAAGGAAACGATCGCCCAGGTTAACTGGATCCTCAGTCGTGATTAACGAACGGTTCGACTCAGCGCGAAATTCGGCGTAACATCGCGAATATTATGAGCGTGGATCAATGCGAGAAAGCACGCTTGGAGGACCTAAGTGGTCACGGACTGGTGATCGATCTAATGCATATTTATTATCGGGAGGGGATAATAAAGAAGCAGTCTGCGACCGCTGTAGTCATTAAGGTATGCTTTCTGAGGTGGATTTCGTCAAGCAGACCGAAACGGCATTTCAATTTTACTCATTACACTTCAGCGCTCGACGAATGAGAATCCGGTTAGCCCGCTCGTTTATTTCTTCTCGACCACTTTCCACCTGGGAAACTCTGAACTCTAACGTTTCAATATAATAACGTTCAATAAATCGTACAAATCGCTGAGCTATCCTTGATATCTTCCTTTTGCTGGTTGACAGCGAGAGAAAGTCATGTCTCGATGGTTCGTGAGGCTTATAATTATTCCGCAGGACACAGCAAAATCTTTGGGCCAAGTTATGTCGTTATGTGTCGTTTCGGTGACGCGAAGAAGAAGAAGAAGAAGAAGAAACGAATCTGGTGGGGGTCGCGAACGCAAAACGGGTCTTGATACTCCGTCAATCACGTCGAGGACGTTACTTCCAGACTAAGAACTACAGCTTTACAAATACTCTTCGTGTGTTTCGCTTTTATTTACATTTTTCTTGGTGCGCTACGTGCTGTTCGAAATCGGCGTACATGTGCATGAACGGATTTAACGCTGACGTATATCGATTTTATCATTATTAAACAGAGATCTGCTTTCCTCCTCTCTTTTCTTCATTCTTTTCTCTCTCTCTCTCTCTCTCTCTCTCTCTCTCTCTCTCTCTCTCTCTCTCTCTCTCTTTCTCTCTCTCTTTTTCTCGCTCGCTTTCTCCCTTTCTCTAATCCTTTCATTCTCGATGCACTCAAAACACTCGCGGAATCGCAGTTATTCAGCGAACTGGTCACACTCGGAAGTCGCCCATCTCACAGTGGTCTCCTCATCGAAGCTGAACGAACGTGTCGGGAGCTTGACTGTCACCCGAAGCTAAACGTGAACCAACGAGCTTCCAACGAGCGTGCACCGTTCGCAAAATACGATGCTCAATGTGCAGACAGAACACAAACGTCGCTTGATCGATGAGACTCGCTTGATCGCAACGCATCGCGGAAATACTTCGTGAATACCGTGTCCTATTCATCCGTATCAACAGTCGTTACTCGAGACTCGTTCCACGTGAGATACTCGGATCTGAATTCAATATCTTGGATAGATTTGAGTTCTCGAATCTCATATAACACACGCGACACATCACACACTCGTGATTGCGATTCAGCTAAAGAACTCACATCTGACTCTACAATCAAATCTAAGACCCGTATTAATAGTCGTTGTTTGAAACTTGTTTCAAGTGAGGCACTCATATTTAAGTTTAGAATTAGATGCGAGTTTCTCAGCGGAATCGCGCCTGCAAACACAATGTCACGTGTATCGCGTATGTTTCAACTGAAAAACTCAGATCTAATTCTCCGTTCAGATCTGAGCATATCACACCAGACAAGTTTCAAGCAACCACTGTTAACACGTGTCTAAGGACGTCACATGAGATTTTAAGTAACGACTATTACTAACACGGCCTTTAAACAGGTGAGACCCAAACACCAATGGCCGGACACAGGCATTCTTATCGTTTTGATCTTTAATTACGGATATTTAAACTTTCAAGATATAGAGTATATATATATATGTATATGTATATTCTATTTAAAAAATCCAGATATCCGTGTTTAAAGACCAAAGCAACAAGAATGTCCAGAGTTGCGTGTGTGCAGACATTGGTACTCTAACTTTGCTTCTCGTGGAGAAAACACAGTATCGAGTTGCAGAGTCACACGTTTCCCTTATAGAAATGTAATACTGATAAGTAATAATTTGGCCAGTGATAATTACTGTCGTTCAATAATTTTATTACTCGTACGAGTAAATTAATTAAGTAGTAATTTTATTAATTAGTAATTAATAAAATTACTATTTATCACTGGCCAATTTATCACAGCCAGATACTTTTCTATAAAGGTTATTATTGTTGAGAGACGGCGACGATTGTACGAGGGTTAACGAGGAAGGAGAAAAAACAAAAAATATCGGACATCGATAGTGTTTTTAACACTTGAATGAGTCGCTGAGGTTGTATTCCGCTGATCGTGGATGTGATTCCTCCGCATGATTCGTCCACGACGTCTACAAGTCCACTTGGGTAGATCGATCGCGACTTACCAACGATTCATATGTCTCGCCCTGCATTTCGATCTCAGCATACACAGACGCACGCGCTCACACACCCACACCCACACACACACACGCACGCACGCACGCACACGCGCGCACACACACACACACACACACACACACACACACGATCTACGTAGTATCACACTACACGGTGCGCTCGCTTACTTCCTACTTACTTCGTACACGATGACAATCAACTCGTTTTACTTGCTTCTAGTGAATACACTACTCATTAAATGATACATGATAATAATCGATATCGATGATGATGTCGGTACAATGGGCGACATTGTACATATAGGACGTACATGGTTCTCTTTATCGAATCCCGTTCCCTCCGTCCGCGCTTTTCATCCTCATGCGCTCTCTCTCTCTCTCTCTCTCTCTCTCTCTCTCGTTTCTTTTCCTCACTTTCTTAAAGCGCGTGATACTCGTTCGATTGTTGCGCGCGCAACACCGATCTCTCTCGAATGCAAAGAACGCGGCCGAAGAAGACGGATCTATTTTTAGATAGATTCTCAACTCGCGAGCAACGGCGTCGATCGGTTTCATTAGCACCGTCAGCACGTGAGAATCATTCAGACAAAGCGACAAAGTAGTCTCGAAAGTGACAGAGTGACATCAAAACATCACGTAGCCGTCGATAACAGTCGTAAATGTTCAGCACTTCCGGCGCGCGAGCACGTAAAGTTACAAATGACTGGACATTCGGGCGTGCTCAGAATTCCGGAATGATCGTAAAAGGGAGCCGGTCTTACATCTGGCCGTACGGTAGCGCCTCTATGTCTGCTCAAAGTGACGTAATAAACTGAGCTTCCTCGAAAAATCGATCAAGCGAGGTAGACTGAGGTAAAATTGAAAAGAAGACGCGCGGCATTCGCACGTCAGTTAATATTGAACGCTCTGAGAAAGAGTACTTCGTGGAAAGTTATTTGCGAGATACAAAGTTCATTTCTGCGAGATAAGATTTGTTTCTGTGAACAAATTTTATATCCCGCAAACAAGTTTCCAAGTATTTTCTTCTCAGTACACTGAGAACGAATACTTGGTGGAAATTTATTTGTAGGATACAAAGTTTATTTGTGTGAACAAACTTCCCCGACAGATTGATGTACATAAACTTTATGGCAACTTGAAGTATATTAAATCATAAAATTTAACAACATTGAGCCCCTTATGGCCTCAGATTGCAATCATATTTTATCACATAGAATGACAAAATAGAAATACGAAAAAAAATTATCAAACTTTGCTCAAAACAGTATGTCACTTTAAATATGATATGAAAATCTGAGTGTGATTTTTAGAATGTGAAATTTGTTACTGCATTAACATAACAAGAAATTTACATTATCGTATGAATTTAATAATTAATTTAATATACTTACACATTATATTCACTTCGCATAAACGTAATTAAAAGAACTCCATCAAGATTTCCTCGATCGATTGCCTCACGTCGTGAGATAAATTTTCAAGCATTTATTCAAGTATTTCAAACATTCCCACAAGTATTTCATTCTTAGCGCGCAATTAATCCTCGCTTAATTAAAAACAACTTGAAAGTCAACCTGCTTCTCCACCTATTTCCTATTTTCCGTTTCCTCAAGGTGCTATTAGTGGAGGAGTCAACGATAACGAACGACTTCGCGATTGTTCGTCGCACGGGTGCGCTAAAGATCGCGTCGACGCCGTTCGCCCGCCGTTCTTCAACAATGTAATTATATTTAAATCACGTATCCTCTCCTTAAAGTGATTTAAGTACAATGCTGTGTGTATGTGTGATAATAACGGTGCCACGCGCTACCGGTACAATCGTTTACAATAATTGGTCCTGAAGAAACGATAGAACCAAACCCGGGGCAACCCAATATCGGCGTATCGCGCGCAAGTGGAGAGTGACTCTCTCGGCGCAGAGCGCGAGTTCGCGATCGCCATCCCCGAGGACAGTGATCGCGAAACCTCGGCCGTCCGGGATGAAGAGACTTCGGGGACTTCCAAGGCCTGCGAGACGCACTACGAAGACTATATAATGTGAGAGACGCTTTTACCACACCACTACTACATCCCCTACGCACACCTTAGACGCGACGAGTCGGATTTTACGACGCGTTTCCTAAGTAACCTGCGCGTACGATAAATGCTAGGAATGGATTGAAACCTGATTTTTAAGTCCTCGAAACTCGAATCCAAAACTTTGTGAGACCTCGAAATTCTCGAAACTTGAGAGACTGTACAAATATAAAATGCTAATTTAAAAAAAAGGTAATTGCATAAAACAAGCTCCTGCATAATTTTACTTTTTACTAAAAAAAAAAATAAAAACAGTTTTATCAACATTTTAATGCACAATTATCAAAAGGAGTATTTCTGGTCAGGAACTAAAAACTCAATATAATTTTTATCAGAAAATTGAATTTTAAATCTTTAACACAGGAACTAGAATATCAACAAAATTTTTCAGAAAATTAAGTTTTCATTAGACATAATTAGGTAGAATATTAATTAAATATAGTTAGGTACAAACATTAGGTTTTAAACATATTTAGATAGAATGTCAAATATAGTTATATGGAAATTAGATGAAAATAATTATTTTTAAACATGAGAAAAACTAAAACTAGATAAAATTTTGAATTCTTTAGAATTTTTATCTATTATCATTACTAAACTATTTAAAACATTTAGTCAAAGTTTTTGTTTGAAAACACTAAGATATGAACTTTTTCCGAGTCTAGTCAGGTCGATTCAAGTTTCGAGAGTTCCCGATCACAAAGATAGAACAAAGTTTCGAGACCTCGAAACTTTTCAGAGTTTCAAGGGGTTACGAGGTTTCGAGAATCTCATCCTTAATAAATGCTTATACGTGTTGGATCGTCGGTTTCGCCTCCGATCCACTCCCCTCTAAGTTAGACTGCTTGGACTTATCGATATCGGCGGCTATCGTTTCCCACCTCACCGCGATTCGCGAGCGAAAAGCTCGTGCCTTCGATGACGTCGTCGTCGTCGGCGTTATTTCCTCCGAGTTACCGTTCTTTCTCTTCTCGTGATCTTCCAACTCGCTCGACGTAACGATAAGAATGAGACGCTCTTTGGGCATTTAAAGGATACTAAATATCACTGAATAAGTGAAATGGGAATAAATGTCTCTGGGAATGACGGAGTGCGAAAAATTCAAAGAATTCCTCCGTCAATCGAAATTATCGCGAGCTCGTGAGTCTCTCTCTTTCTCAATGTCGATACGAATTGTGTGTGGGGGCAATTTTATATTTATTATGTAGATTATATCGTTGCAAAAAGGATATAAAAGAGTCTCAGTTTGACGGCTCCGCGACAAAAGTACACGCAATACACATGAGAAAAAATTTGATTAGACTAACGAAATGTCTGATGAAGTATGAATGAACCACACGTTCGGTTGTGGTGTACCAGAATCCTGTTCCAATTGACTGATCTGACCAACTTGAACAAGTCCTGGTCAACCGGATATCTTGTTAGCTTGAATGGAATTCTGCTGGCTTCATCCGGCGTTCGATTAATCTGAGCAAACTTTCCTCTCCGTGCACGCGAGCCGGAAACGCGGCGAATTGGCCTCTTCGGTTCTCACCGTTACGTTTCCGCGCGCGAACGACGGCGACGACGACGACGACAATTACGCCCGAATTTCCGTTAGCAGGATAGATATACAGGTCGATATATCACCGGATTAGCTTCGAAACGTCGGGAGATAAGGGTAAAGGACCGAGCGCCTTCTCCAACGGCATATCATCCCCCCTTCCCGCGAGGGCTTCATCTACAATAAATTACTTTAATCTCCACGTTGTAACGATAATAGGTGTAACGCGTAATTATAATCTTATATACCGAGTAAACGCTACGATACAAAGCTAAAATCAATAGATATCACCAAATAGTCCATCCTCGCTGTCCTCGGTTATCGTTTAACAATATTATGATTATTATTATTATTATTTTTATTATTATTATATTTATCGTTAATTATTATTATATATTATCGAGAGACGCGGCGCTGCGTCCGTGTACCTACACCTAGGGTGACATCGCTGAATGTCTTTCTCTTCCATACTCTGCTGGAAGTCTCGCGGAAAACCTATAAGACGTGTGTGACTCTAAATAACGTTCTCTCTAGTCGTCAGGAAAAAAATATACAAAAATAAACACGTCGTTCTTAGCGGTGTAAATGCAACGAACATCGACGAAAGATTTTTAGCATTTCTACACGGCGGATTCGCCCCTCCTCTTAAAATCAATCGCGAATAAAGTGCACACGTTGCTTGAAGCTTGGTGAAGTTTGGGACTAAGCGAGAACCAAGACTTCCGATCACCCTGAGTGTACGATCGTGTCAACCGGACGCTGCCGTATACTCCTATATTTTACCGTCGCTAGAATTCGATTGATTATATAACATTTTCCCTCTCTCTCTTTCTCTTTCTCTCTCTCTCTCTCTCTCTCTCTCTCCCTCTCTGTCTTTTTCTCGTATATATCGCTAAAAAACTAAAAATCGCACTAGTTACAAACGGGGAGCGACGATCAATCAACAAACGACGGACACAGAGAATCGTAGCTGCCGAAGGGATTTTCGTACTGACGTGTATATTTACAGAAAACCGTCGCGCAACCGCCAAACGGCGAGAGAGAAACGTATGTTCAAGCCTTTTCTTAAACGGTTCGACCGACTGCCCCGCACTCGCAATAGAGTACGAGGTGTATTATTATAGTAGCTCGCAAAACGGCTTAGACACAATAAATGTCATAGCTAATTCGTTCTCCGATCGGGGAACATGGATGTGGGTGACCGATCGGTTACCGGTTTGGGATGAGCCATATCTAGTACATTATTTGTACCACGTAATTCTGACAATTGAAGACCTCCCAGTACTATCTTCTCTTCTCTTTTTTATGGTACTTATGTCCTTTGTAATTGCGTAGGGTTTTTATTCCAACGTGTGCCGCCAATTTTTGGCGACACATGCTTAAGATCGCATTCTGAAACGTTCTTTTTGAGGAAAATTTTACTCAATGTCCTATAGTTCACGTTGCACATATTATAGAATACTGGGTAAAGGTTTTCTCAAAAAACGTCGTTTTAGAATGCAAGAATATGCGCTCTGAAATTTATTGTGTCTAAACCGTTATTCTTGATCCGCTGTACACTCTGCTGCAAAACGGTTTTCACACTATTTTTAAAGTCGCAACGCGTAAGATTGTCACAATTGCGAGCCACTATAGACCAATTTATGCAACGATTGGCTATATCTTTTGTTACTAGCCAATTATTGCGGAAACTTGTCAGTGTTTCGTAATTGTGATAATTTTGAGCGATGCAATTTCATTGGAAAAAATATAAAAATCGCTTTGCAATTGGATTTACTTCACTGCGATTCTCTCTCTCTCTCTTTCTCTCTCTCGTGGATTCGTTTCGTGTACGAGCGAGTTGCGTTTCCCAAAGTCGCTCTCAACGTTGCAGCAGCAACTCGTTCGTCGACGAGTTACTCCCAACCCGAGGCTCACGCTTGAGAAACCAAAGTGTTCGCGGCTAATTACAGGTAGATGCGAAATGATGCTTTTCGTCCACGCGCTTCCACCGATCTCTCCGTCCTCCGTTTCGCGCGTCCGGTGTTTCCCGCACAGACGTCCTCGTGTGTCCGGGGACACCCGAATATCCCCGGCACGGGGATCCCGACCCGAGTGTCGCTCCTCGATTCAACTTCGGCGATTGCGGACTAACGCAAGTCAGGATGAATAGGCCCGTTCCGCGACTCACGGTTTAATCGATAACAGTATATCTGCAGATATAACTCGTGATATAATGCATATATGCGTTTATGCGTAAGATGTATGCGTAAGATGTATGTATGTCTTGCATCAAGGCCATTCTGCGATTGCGTAAGCGCGATCATGAACGTAAGATCAGAGTGTTTTGTTCACTGATTGCTTCATTCCGATTGGCTGTCGCAATCGCTTACAACCACTTGCGATCACGCTCACGCAATTGCAGAGTGATCTTCATGAGTACAGACTGCGCGAGAACGCACACGCGTCCTTCGTGCGTCGCGCGCGAACGCAACACGCAACGAGATGAGAGCGGCGGAAAGTGGAAAAAGCCAGCGCCGTCGTGTAGTCGCGCGCGACGTACGGATTTCTCCTTCGTCGGGAATCCGAGCGCGCGGAGATCAGCCGCGAGCACGGCTCGCCGATCAAAGTGTATCGCGTCCGTCTACACGAACCACAGATCTCGCGAAACGTCGTCAAAGAACGAACTCAAGTCTGCCCCCAGCATTCGGGCCCGATTAGACTCGCTTAATCTCGAGAATCTCTCACATAATTGTGTAGAGATGACAGCGGATAACAATAATAGAATGAGCTGCACGCACTTGAATACGCCTTATATGCTGTAACTGTGTACTTCAACGTTATATATTCTAAGTAACAACGCGCCCGTGACTTTTTTAGATTTTTCAATATGTTAAGGTAAAAGTGTCAATGTCTAGTCACGCATTTACACATTCTTGTTGTTTTTCTTGAAATATATGGAGATATATCTGAACTTTCAATATAAAAAAAATATATATATATACATGTATTAAATATATACATATGTCCTATGTTGAAAGTTTAGATATAATAATTAAATATAATTAAATATAAATATTTGTATCTAAAAAAATATCATTAAAATATTAAATTAAATCATATCACATATTAAATATTAAATTTTAGATAAGCCAATTATATATAATATATAATCGGCATATTTAAAAACCAAAAGATCCGATCTCACATCAAGTTTATCGCTGGCGCGTTAAATGCACGAGATCGCAGTGCTCCATTTTTCATACGGAATTGCGAGAAAATATTTTCACGGGCAGAAAGACGGACGCAAGAGTCCAAGAGGCCCGATCTGGTGCATGCGGACTCGGGTCGAACGATACAAATCTGCTCGCGTGGTCACGTGATTGTGTGATATATCGTTTCTAGAGCGACTTCTCATTACAGCCATGGCGCGTAATCTAAGAGAGCCTAACTATATTATACACGAAGGATATCGCGGGATTCAAGCGCGTCGCCCCTTTGCGCGAAAATACAGGCGCGTGCCGTTTCAGCGGGCGGCCGATCGATACGGAAACGTCCACGTCCCTGAGCGGCGCTTATGCACGTTCGGAGCCACGCTTTGACCTTTCGAGTGCAATGAGAGGGTTCAGTGCACGACGCGATCTCGATCTCTTCTCGAGGTAACTTAAAGCGCGAAGCGATGGATCGTGAGAGATGCGCGATACATGAGCGATGGCCAGCACCAGCGAGTGTCGAGTGAAGGGCCCGGTGGAAAAGAAGGAGACGGAGAAGGACGCGGGTGACAACAACACGGGGGTGGAACTGCTACGGCGAGCTGCTTGAACCGCGTGACTGAGCTCGAAATGAGCTTTCTTCGAGGGAACAATTCTGCAAGCGCGCAAAACTGTCTTCCCTGAGGGAAACGGCGAACGCGACGAACGATTCGAGCTTGGCCGAGTTTGCGGCCACTCGCGCAGCGCCCTTTGCACCGAAGCCCTTCGATTCGCAAGTAATGTTCCGAAAGCTATCCCTCGAGTTCGACGATTACACATTGTCAAACTCCGTCATCTCGTGCGCAAGCATGCACTGAGAAAAAAATGTTCGGTATTTGTAACTATGTAATCGCACTTGGAGAAACAATTACTGTGCAGATTATGTTGAAGAAAATCATTTTTTTCTTTTTTTATTAAATTTTACCATATTGTTAGCGATAACAATCTTGCATGCATGTTTCTACTGTCATTTGACTGCAAAAAATATGGCGGAGCGAAAGTAACAATAATTTTAGTTAGATCAACCGTTTTTTTTCTCTCAGTGCAGTGCTGACGTGCCCCGCGCTATCGCCGCCACGTGTTCTCCTCGCTTAGGTAAAATTATGCCGCTACTTTTCTCTCTTCTCGAACGATGTAGCCGAAATCGTTGCACGGGGTGTCTCCTGACAGATAATAAGATGCTCTGTCCCATCTCTGGGATAATATTGATCAGGAGACATCCCGTCTAACGACGCGCTTAGAAAATTGCTCATTTAATCCGTACTAACTAGCCGAACCAAGGCGGAAGCGTATCTGCGATCTAATGATGTATAGATATTCCCTTCTCAGGATGTGAGTACTTTTACGAATTTTCAGCGTTCTCGTCGGCTCGACGGAGACGCGTTACTTGAAATCATTCTCAACGTTACATCTACAGAGAGAAGTATATTAGATATATGTATGTATATACAAGACACTACACTCCACATGAGAACATATTATTTTAAATCCTTCATGGTTGGTATTTTATCGTTTAGTTTAATCATAGATTATTAATATCTATTAATTATGTATTTGTTTCTCTTCTCTTTCGCATCGAATTTATTCTCTTTTTTATTCGTGTTCTCCCTCACCCTCTTTTTTTTTCTATATCCCTATATCTCTCCCCCTCACTCTCTTCTCCGTCGCCCTTTCTCCCGACCGATTATCCTGAAAAGAGAGAGAGAATCGCCTTCAGGACAACCCTCCTTATCGCAAACGTTTTCGTCAACCGTCGACCAAACGAACGAATCAAAACAGAAACTGTTCAACACTGGTTGTGTAGAATGTTCATGCAGAATTGCTGATTTTAAATTTAATTTGTTAATTTGATTTGTCAACCCTCGTCTCAATTTCAAAAGCGCTATCCAGCGCTACGATAGTTCGATCGAGCGAATATCTGACTCCCGATCGGTCGTGGAATCCGTCATTAAAAGTAAAATCGGATGTGCCGAGACATTCTACATACTTGATCGCACCCACGAATCCCTCTGATACTAAAAACGTACCTTAACTGAACGTCAACATTCTTAATCTTTCTTATCTCCGTCCTCGGGGTCCTTCAGCGTGTGCCATTGGGCGATTGGGCGCCTGGGAGACGCCAGCATGTCACTCCAATGTCTCAATTCCGTTCCGCTCGCGTTTTGTCCCAACACGACCTTGCCGATCGGTTCTGATGTGCCGATGCGATCGTAATCTACTACGGTGACGACGAGTTGCACTTTCTGAAAGAAGAAGGCTCATGGAATCTCACGGATGTTGAGGATATCGTTATCACCTCAACATTTTGATAACTTCGGAGCGTCAATTGCTATCACATATCTGGATTTGCATCGTTTGATCGGAATGTTCTTGTTATCGCCATGAACAACTCGGATTTTACGTATCATGTTTTTCAGAGATTTTCCTTGAGATTGTTATCGTTTCAACTTTAGAATTTTTAATTTTAAAATTTCTCAGTGCAATTTCTTTTCGTCATTTTGTTGTTCGACGATTCTACGATCGTCAAGACGCAGACTCTGACGAAGAAGTTCCTCTTACGTACCTGTATCTGCTCGAAGGGTACCTCGAAGGTGAATGATTCGTTGTAGTACGGGTTAAGGGTGCACTTCTTGATCGACGTCTTCTTCTTTTTCAGCCTCTTGCCATTTTGCATCAAGGCGATCTTGACGTAAGGGTCCGAGAGACCGCCGACGTCCATCTTCTTCAGATTCTTGGCTTCCAGAATGACCACCGTGAGCTTGCCGGCCGTCGGCACGTATCTCAGCGAGAAGCATATGTCTCCCAGTTTGTTGTCCTGTAATCAACAAGATCACTTTGTTCCTAATATATCCGCGATGAGATACGCGCGAGATGAAACGTGTTTTCAGCGTTAATAAACTCTAATTAGGCGTTAATTTGACTCTCGGCAACGATACAAGTTCAGCTGTCCAGTATATTATTATTCTTATTCTAACTATTTCTATCTAGTATTATTCTTATTGTCCAATATATTATTATTCTTATTCTAAATTCTACTCTTATTGTATCATATCGAACAAACGAATTGTCCTTCTGCCGACTCACCTGTCCACCCTCGCCTTCAACGCTCTGCAATTCCCGCCATTCTTCGATCGTCTGCGCCAAGTCGACCTGACAAAGCGGCACTTTGACCTCGCCGATCTGATCGTGTTTCGAGAATCTGTCAAAGTCGAAGATGGCGAAGACGAGAGTCTTGTTCATGGCATCGGCATAAGGGACGCTCTGCGTTCATCAATGACATTAATCCGCATAGTCAATTGGACATGTTGTGATGTAAAAGAATCTCGATCGATTGTAATTTCTACGAGGCGCTACGGGACTCAACTGACCTTGAAGGTAAAGGTTTCGTTGAAGACCGGGCTTAACGTCTTCCTGTGAACCTTCGTCTCAAACTTTTTCTTCTTGTCCGGCAGCAAATACACCTTCACGTACGGATCTGACGTGCCGCCCATGTCCAATGCCGGCAATTCTTCCGCCTGTATCACCGTTACGGCGAGACTGTTCGAGTTAAAGTCGTATTCGAGCTGCAATCAAACGCGTTCTTCTCATGACACATTCTCATGTAACACGTATTAATTTCCTCGAAGTGCTTTTATCTAGATTCGATCCACGTCAGAGAACTTACTTTCATTACACTTCATTGCACATTTTGTTATATTATATTGTGCGTTATTAAGTGGAAGATACGTACCTTGTACTGCAGCTTGCCGAGCTTGACTTCGCTCTGCTTGCTCTCGGCTTCGTCCGGCTCTTCGGCATTGTCCGTCAGCTCCTCCATATCCGGCTGGACCTTCGCATATCGAAGTGGATTCCACGAGTGTAGAATGTGTCTCTAGCGTCTACATAAAGTCACGGAACACCGAGTACATACCTTGTCCTTGTACGTGCTGCCGAGAAGCTGCACGGACTTGAGGTCCACCGCGCCCTTCAGACCCTTCTTGCCGTCTTTGGTACGTCGTTTGCGACAACATCTTCGTATACAGCAGAAACAGATGCCGAGAATAATTACACCTATCCCTGCGCGGCAGAAGAAACACAGAAATGTGTTATAATTAAGTCTCGCCAGTCAATTCTCTTCATATGCACACACATGTTCGTGTACTCGTCGTTCGTGTGATCGCCCATAAGGACTTTAATGATTATATTTCTTTTAATTATTGACAGATCGCAGCAATAGTTTAGGAAATAAGCTTTGTTTCATATTACCATCTTTCTTCCCTGCCAAGTTTCGCGAGATAGAACTCTATAAATAGGATCCCGCTTTCGTTACCCGAAGAAAGATCGCGCATCATCAAGTAGCAGAAATATGTTCAACAATAAATATAATAAAAGAACAAAGGCCTATAAGAATCAATGATGAAGAGGACTAACAACTGACCGAAACGTTTGTCTTTTCTAATTCATAGAAAATAAATTTGCTTTTTGCCCATACATTGGCATTTGGCTCTTACACGGATGTTTATTAAAATTATATTGTAATTGATGCAGAGCCATTCATATTAATTAAGTTTAGCAAAAAGGATGAATTGTATACGTATGAAATATCAGCAAACGCGACGAAGTGTCTTCCTCGCTTTGTATTTTAAAGTCGCTTCGCGGACTGTGGTCTTCTAGCTTACAGATAATAAGGATCGATTATTCCCGATTGATTGGGATCAGGCTCGTCGAAGGTCACTTCATTACCTATTAAGATAGCAACAAGCCCCCACGGCGGTATTCCCATCTTATCCGCCATTTTCTCCCCGAAATCCTCGACGGCCTTAACCGCGCTCTCGGTGACTTCATCCGTAGCTGAAATCATGGAACATTCGGGTTAACACACTTTGCCTGAGAAGATAATCGCGCATAGTCACTCCGGCAAATAATCGCCACTGTTTCCCGGCTAATTAGCGCAGAGTGACTGATTGATTCCTCCTGATGAAGATTAAGCGAGAGTTCACGCTAGGTACTCACTGAATTTTTCTTCTTCTGTGGTGAAAAGTGAATTGGGCGAGGTAGCGCTGTTGGCTTCCTCGCGCACCTCGTTCACGTCCCTCTTGAAAAACGGTGGCATTTTCTGCGTCAGAAAAACATCGTCGTGAGTGCGGGCAATGTTTTTGTTGCATAAGGTAGCAGCTTGTCTCGGACACAACTCCTGCTCTGCTCTCGTCTAACAAATCGAGCCACAATTTTTCGAGCGCCCCGAGGAAGGGCTTCGATTTTACTTCTCCACGTAATAATCGCGTGGCACAGGCCGAATTAATCAGCGACGTCGGAAGTTAGACATGCCGCGGTCGTGATAGATCATGACGCGTGCGAGCGACAACGGCCACCATTGGACATTTCGTAATCTACGAGAGCATTTCCGCACTCGAAACCGCATGCGTATCGCAAAAAGCTGAGCTTTGGGCGAACGATTGTTAACGAGCACGCAACCACGTCACGGACGGACGAGGCTCATTTATCTGGCTCCGTAGCCGTAAAAAATCTAAATCGGCGTAGCAAAGCGCGAGCGGTGGAGTCATTCGTGATAATTGCGTGCGCGACGCGCGCTCTGACATCGAGTACAGGAGCAGGTTGAAAAAGGGAAGAAAAACAGGGTTAAAGCGCTCGAGGAACGAGAAGGGATGTCGCGACTCTTTAATTTATATACATGCCGGATCTTCCGTTAATTTCCATTGTGAGACCTTTCCGCCTACGACTCGGGAATATTGCACGTAATTCTGTCAGCGCAAGGCCGTGGGCCGTCTGTTATTTCAGCGTCGTCGCGCTTTGGTCTTCGAAGGTGATCTGCGTTATAACGACAGAGAACAATGTCCGCAGAAAGGTTGCCGAGATAGAGCTGAAAAGGTACGGCGATATATACAGGGTGTCCCAGACCACTATAAACTCAAACTTTGCGAGAGCGTAGAACAGATTGAGGTGAATAAGAAAGTGACATGATTTTACGACATTCGCAATAATTATCGAGATATTAATCAAAGAGGATTGATGAAGGATCACGCGCGATACGGCAGATGAGTTGCGACAGCGACGCCTGTCCTCTTGTGCTTATAGACCAGGTCAAATTGCACAAATTTGTCCTCTGACATTTTGCAAATAATTATGTGGATCTTTAGTTATTAATTAAAGAAGATTGATGCATAATTGTGCGCGTTAACGCATCGGTATACTTTAACTAATAACTTAAAATCCACGAAAGCCTCATATGGTTTTGCGATACTCGCAATCATTATCGAGGTATTAATCAAAGAGGATTGATGAAGGATTACGCGACATCTGGGACACCTTGTATATACACACATATATATACACAAGTATATATATATATATATAAAAGGCGTGATATGTTGCGATGGCGATGTATTATCGAGCCGCGCGTGGGAGTTTGTCCGCGCCAATCCATAACTGAATGAGACGCGAAAGAAATAAACAGAGGGTGAGATAGTAAGTTACGGCGAGGAGGGTCCGTCTTTCATATGGGACACCATGAAGAAGAAAGCGAGCCGAGAAGCAAGCAGAGACAAACCGCCATGAAACACATAGAGAAGAAAAACATAATGAAATTGCGGCGGCGATGGATTGTGTAAATCGCTTCCTTTTGTCATCATTAATTGCAAGTAACTATTACTGCTGTGACTACGAAAATAGTGCATTAAAATTGAGTAGATCGCGAGCGGTCACGAATTACAATTGCAAGTAAGATAAATATACCAATGCCCGGACATGTACCTAATTCCGGACACTCTTATTATTTTGAATATTTCTCTAAATATTTCATCTTTCAACGTACACTAAATATAAATATTAAATATATGTATACCAATATGTATGTGTTGTACGTTGAAAGTTGAAATATTCATACTCAAATATAAAAATAATAACAATGTCCGGAGATGGGTACATGTTCGGGCATTGGTACATTTACCTTAACATCTTTTTATAATTATTAATGATTATGTAATATTCCTCTAATTAATATTTCTCTTATTTATTTTTGTTGCAATCACTAACTATTATAATGATTGATCCTTGACAAATTCTTAATTGAAAGTAACTGACTGTACTTGCTATTGCAGGTGACGACGAGAATCGTGCACTGAGACTCAATTGAAATCCTCGACAAACGTAGATTAGGAGCAATTCATTTCGCCGGGCAAATGAGCGCGAAGTTTAGCCAACGCGAGCGTCAATGAGTACGATAGCTCGACACGGCGATATAATGTAGTTCGAACAACTAAATGAGATCGATCCCGCTGTAGGGAGTGATTTAATAGCCGCGTTCAATATTACAAAGCGCTCAGTGAACTCTTGCATTTAATTAGCGTATATTTTTAGATTTAAAGGAATATGCCAATCGAATGCAAGAGCTCACTGAGTGCTCAGTGAACGATTGCAGTACCGGATATATCAATTTATTCTTTTGCAGTAACTGTATCGCGCGTATCTAGAGCTTTAGATAATCGTCGTCATCAAGAACGCATCGGCGAGACGTAACGAGCAGCGGGGCGAAATCAGCGGACTGAAACGCGATTTGAGAAGATGACACTCGCGCCCTTATGTAATCCTCCATCCCATCCTATAATCCTGGCCTGCGGGCATTGCGATAACTCTCCGTTCCTCTATCGTCTCCACCGCTCTCACACCTCTCCGCCATCGGCACAGCTATCGTCCTCTTTCCTTTCGATCGAGCATTTCTTGCTCTCGCAACCTTGCAGGCGCGTCGTCATTGTGTCACGCCGCAGTATATATCGGGTTTATTTTAATATTTTCTCTCTCTCTCTCTCTCTCTCGCGACTATACGCGCGAAAAATCACACGAGAGAACGACGTCACTATCGCTATCGCATGTTGTCCCGCTTTATCAGCATTGGGATGTCGGCAGATGGATGAAGATGACGTAGTATCCGTCGATAATCGCAATTGTCGGCGATACCCTGTGGCTTAAGGACAGTTTTTCCGATCGTCTTCGTATCTTCGAGATTGCGCGGAGGGCTATGACAACATGGGATTTTCACGTGTTGATGTGTTCGTGCCTTTTACGTGCGCGATTGAGTACGCGTGCACAAACGCGCACAGCAAGTGTGCGCGTATGTATGCGTGTGTATATATGTGTGCGTGTGTGCGAGAGATCGATACCGGATAGCTTCCAATAGGATTACTTATCCTAGACACAGTGTGCGAGGTTCTCTCGCACAAGATGCTGCCAGCGACGTCTTTGTCGCGATCAACTTGAAACTGCAACTCCTCAAACTTGCCATCCTCCGAGGAAACATCCAGTTAATCATCCGGATGTGTCAGCCAAAGAAGTGGAAAGTCGTGGAAAAAGAATCAAAAGACACAGAGAGAGAGAGAGAGAGAGAGAGAGAGACGCGAAGAATAACAATGAAAGATGTATCGGAAATAAATTCACTGTTATGTACCCTAAAAGATTTATGTATAGCTCTATAATTATACAAAAATACAATTTCGAAAGGGACTAAAGAGCCAAGGTGCGGGTGTTAAGCGCTACTTTATATTATACATTATAAATTATAAATTTAATAATATAATAATCTTATTAGTAATTTAATATAAATTATAAATTTATAATGTATAATATAAAGTAGCGCTTAACTACCAATCTTTAGTCCCTTTCGAAATTATATTTATGTATCGGAAAATTGCAACATGAATTTGCATGAAGTTACGTGAATTCCTTGATAAATTAAACGTAACCTCTCGCTCACACACTATTGCAGGCCAGATTTTCATTCCTTCCGACTTATCGCGAAGAATTTCAATTACCGCGCAAAGATGCGCTATCTCTTTATCTCGCCCGCATTCGCGGATATGAGAGAGTGGCCCGGTAATCGTATTAAAAATTACTTCGAGTTCAAAGGATTAATTTACCGCGAATCACAGGTGCTCATCGTTTGAACCCGGCGCTCGACAAAAGAGGCAGTAATATCTCCGCTACTTATTCCGTAACTCGAAAGTTCTCTCGAACAAAATGTCGAATTTATCGTCGTCGAAAGTTCATCGTTATCGATAACGCGTTCCTCGATTCATGGCTATAGAAAAATACACACACACACACACACATACGCACACATAAATATTTTTAATGCAGAGGATCCCTTTGCAAAAATTGAGCTCGAACGGAGTTTCCTCCGGAAATCCACCCTTTGATCAAAATAATCGAAGATCCTCTCACGCCTCTCCCACTTATAAACTAGTTGGCCTCTCTCATCAGGCGCGGTTGAAACACCCCTTTCTATCAGACCAGCGAGCCTTGTTACGCGTTAATTGGGATATCCACACGCGCCTAAACGACCGTAGATACACGATACGCGCGCGCGTACGCGTAAATGAGCACATTTAAAACGCAAATCAATACAGCCAATATGCCGACAGATGAACCTGTCGTACTGCACCGGTTTGTCCAAACTTCCTAGGCAGACTTATTCATTTATCCTTAATCCACGCTTCTTTCGGCTTTGGATGGTCTCCAGTTTTTACATTCATACATATCATCGTCCACATCGCTCCATTCCTACTTCTTTAGTTATTTCCTCTTTTCTAATTTTCCTTCTTTCTATTCATCTACTATCATCTACCGTCGAATCAACCCAAATCTTCTTTAGCTTCAGATCAACTTTATAAATTTTCATTGTATAAATAATCTAATATAAATTAATAACTGATAAAACTCTAATAACACAAGTTGATATAAACTGATAAAAACTCTAAGCAGATTTATTCGGATATTTTGACAAGACGTACCCTCCTCTCCAATCGGCAGCCAATGTGTAAAGTTGTGTCGAATTGTGTTATATATTTTAGGTGTGTGAAATTCATATATTTTAATAATATATGTGTATCCACAACCTCGTGCGACATTTCTCAATAATACAGAAAATATGCAAATAAATAGGAAAATCAAATGAATATCTATAAAAATGTCTAAAAGAACATGTAGGTCTCCAGTTGTCTCCAGAGAACATGTGTGTTACTGATATATGCGGCGTGATGGAAAGTTTGCATTGTTTTATTCAACGTCGCGCGCGTCACTTCTTTCCGAAATAACCGATTCAATTGATACGAAACTTTCCACGCGGCGCAGGGAAGCTACTTTCTCTCCCCCCATCTTCGACGTGTCAACGTCAATGCGCGTTTTCCGTGAGTTACTAACACGGCAGTTACGCAGATGTGACACCTGTCACGCGTAATTCTGCCGCGTTACATCAATATACAGGTCAGCGTGACGGGTAAAACGATTTGCAACACTTTTTCATATTTCTCTTGAGGACAGAAATGAGTGTGAACCGTTTTGCAAACGAGTATACCACCGAGTCCCCGAGCTGAGTCTGTGTTCGAGCACGCACAGCTGCTAGCGAAATGGATGAAGAACTCGTTATACTGATCAATATGTTGATGTAACGTATACTCTCGGGCGTTGGAAGAATGCGCGCATTTATTGTATTTAATGACGTATAATTTCACAGAGCACGCTAAGTTAAGACGAATGTACGAGTGCGTTTTTTCAGTACCCATCGCGAATGCCAATCCGTGTTAACGTGAATGGGGTTTAAGTGCACGGAGCGAAAGAATTCTTCTCTTCTTTTCATTTATTCACACGAACCGGCTCGTGTTTCGTGCCGACTCAAACATCCCTTTCTCTGTATCTTAGAGAGAAATACAAACGTGGCGAAGTGGTGCTTGTGGAAGCACATTACTAACGAAGTCTGAATAAAGAGAATCGTACAAAGGATTCTGAAATTTGCACAATTGTTCTCGCAAACGGTTGAAACAGGATCCGCGAGTACTGCGCGTACTCGCGGTGCAATCGCCCAAATGCAACAAGAGCGCGGGGTGCAGGCTTTCCCCTTCGAAATAACGGTCATTCGACTATCGACTGGCCTACATCCTTCTCAAGGACGACGACTTCGTTCGCCGGGTTCGTTCTTAAGGCATCCAACGCCCTTTTCATGAATGAACGTCCTCGAGACACCGGCTGTGTGGCGTGAGCAAAAATGATATCGGCCGCGGGGGTGCGTGACGTTCCTCTTCACGAACGTGATGAGCGTAACGCGGCTTCCACTCGTCCTCGCCCGTGAGGACTCTCAATCAGGACCATACCGAAATAGTGCCGTCGTGAACTCGAGCCGCTTATCGATCACGAAGGTTAATGTGGGCTTTTCAAAACGCACCTCTCGTCGGGTCACTGCCGTGCCTCGATTTCACCGGCATTTCGTACACTTGAGAAAGCTGGGACACCCTGTATACGCGAGAAACAAAAGCGGCACTCGAGCGCTCGTATTTCGACGATACTCGATATCTCGTAAACATCGTGAAAGAAATTATTATGGATCACAGAGAGATAGAGAGAGAGAGAGAGAGAGAGAGAGAGAGAGAGAGAGAGAGAGAGAGAGAGAGAGAGA